CTTCCCTGTCCCTCTGCTCCGAACGCCTGCTCATAATGGGCGATTTCAACCTCCATCTGAACTCCCCTTGCACCACTTCTGCCGATTTCACTGGCCTCCTCTCCTCCCTAAACCTTATCCTCCATATAAATCCACCTACCCACAACCGTGGTTATGCACTTGACCTTGTCATCACCCATGGCCTTGACATTTCCGACCTCAGCATAGTGGACAAGACCATCTCGTACCACTTTTTCATCTCCTTCTCCTCTCGCATCCCTCTCTCCTCCACCAAGTCCTCAACCATCCTCGACTGCCCTTGCAAAAGGCTATCCCCTGAGACCCTCACAAAGGCCCTCTCATCATCAAACATCCTATCCCTCTGGCCTTCCACCCACGGAGATCCTGAAGCAGCGTCCAGCTGCTCCATGATCGCCTCTCCTCCACCTTCAACTCTCTCGTCCCCCTAAAATCCAGGACCATCTCCAAACCCACCCAATCCCCTGGTACAACAACCATCTCCACTGCCAAAATACCCAAACCCGTCTGCTCGAGCGCAGATGGCGGAAAACTGGCCTGACAGTTCACCGGCAACTGTGGCTCGAGCATCTCTACAGCTCCCATCATTCTTTGACACGCGTAAAAACGCTTTCTACTCCAACATCATCTTGGAGGCTAAACACAACGTTAAAATCCTTTTTTTCACCACCCAGCTCCCCCTCCTCTGCCCACTACTGGCTAACGTCATGAACCAGTCCCTCCCTCCAGATCACTCTGCCCCCTCAAAACTGCTGTCATCACCCCCCTCCTGAAAAAACCCTCCCTAGATCCCTCAAACCCCAGCCACAACCACCCTATTTCTAACCTGCCCTTCCTCTCAAAAGTTCTAGAAGGCGTTGTTGCCCATCAACTCCGCGCACACCTCTCCTCCCACTCCCTCTTCGAACCCCTCAAATCTGATTTCCGTCCGTCCCACAGTACAGAGACTGCGCTTGTGAAAGTCATCCTCTCTATCTGTGACTAGGGCTCCCTCTGCCTCCTTGTTCTCCTGGACCTCTCCGCCGCGTTCGACACAATCGATCATGCCATCCTCCTCCATCGCCTTTCCTCCGTCATCCACCTCAGTGGGACCGCACCCGCCTGGTTTGAGTCCTACCTCGCAAACCACCAGCAGTACATCTGCACAAATGGCTTCTTGTTCCGCTCTCACCCGGTCACCTGCGGGGTACCCCAAGGATCCATCCTTGGCCCCCTCCTCTTTCTGATCTATATGCTCCCTCTTGGGGATGTCATCCACAGACATGCAGATAATAATAATAATAATCCTTGTATTTGATATAGCGCTTTTCACGTCAGGAGGACGTCCCAAAGCGCTTCACAGAACACACTGTAAAGTGAATTGACTGTATATTTGTGGGCGAACGCGGCAGCCAATTGCACACAGCAATGTCCCACAAACAGTCGTAGATTGAAAATGACCAATTTATTATTGTTTTTTTTGGTTTTGGAGGGATTATTATTAGGCTGTGTGTGGAGTAAGGAAACTTGCCCAAGGTTTCGCCCTCTGCCTGGAATTGAACGCAGGTCTCTCGCTTGCAAAGCGAGTGCTCTAACCACTGAGCTACAGATGAAACCCAACTCCATTTTTCCACCTCTCTTTGCGACCCCCAGTCCCCTGATGTTCTGTCAGCCTGCCTGTCGGATCTCAGGGGATGGATCAGCGCAAATTTCCTTCAGCTGAACGTTGACAAGACGGAAGCCATACTCTTTAACTCGTCAACATCTAAAATCTCATGGTTCTCACCTCCTCCACCTACCCGACCTCGCCATAAAACTCTCTGAACCTGTACGCAACCTAGTCATCAGGTTCGACCCCCTATTATCCTTCCTTCCCCACATCTGGTTCCTCACCAGCACCGCTTTCTTCCCCCTCCGACGCATTGTCACCCGCACGAAACTCCGCTCCCCGACTACCCCAGCCCTTGCCAGACTGCACTGGCTGCCTATCCCAGAGAGGATCGACCTCAAGATCCTCACCCTTGTATTCAAGTCCCTGCACTCCTCTGCACCCCCTACCTCTCTGACCTCCTCTCTCCTCAAAATAGTGCCCGTCGCCTTCGTTCCTCTGGGTCTGGCCTCCTCCTCGTCCCCCGAGTCCTCCACTCCACCCTCGGCGGCCGTGCCTTCAGCCACTATGCCCCGAGGCTCTGGGATTCCCTTCCTCACTCCCTTTGCCTCACTCCATCCCTTCCTATTTTCAGGTCTCTGCTGAAGACCTTTCGATTCGACCACGCCTTTGGTCACCTTCCTCTCCCTCCCCCTGGCTCGGCCCCGGGATCCGTTATTGTGAAGCGCTCTGAGACACCATCCGGCTTGGAGGGCGCTATATAAATCCAAGTTGTTGTTGTAGTTATAAAGGGCTGGCTGGGTGACAGGATCAATAGCTGAAAGAAAATAGATCTTATCAACAAAGTTCATTTAGAAATATGTCTAGAATTTTGCAAATTAAATTATTTCTAAATGATTGAGATTGCCTGATATATGATGATGTGAACAGTGTATATTACTTGCAGTTCCAGCTGCACAAGAGATTGCTGTTCTTTTGGCTGAAGCTGTCTGTGAGACCAGGGCTCAGCACCACGAGAGTGTTGTGAGTTAGAGAATGAGAGAGCTGTGTATCAAATCATCTTAAAGAGACTGTTGGAGGAGAAACGGTTCAATTTGCATTATGACCTTCATGTAGGGTAATGACTCAGAGTGCTTTACGCTTTTGGACACTGACCAGGGGAAAGGGATGGGGCAGGTGACCACAGGCATGATTTGAAGATGAGGTCAACCATCAAGAATTCGTTCCATTGAGGATGGGGAGGTAGTAGAGTTGAACAAGGATGTTAAGCACACGAAGCCTGGGGCAGGAAGATAGGATCTGCAGCTTGTGTAAGGAGAAGCTGGGGTAGCCAGTGAGCAGGGTGATGGGCTGCAATGAATGAGAAGGGCGTGGATGTGGAAGGGCGATGTTGCAGACTCGAGGGCAAGCTGAGTAAGAGCCTGGATATGGAGCTTGAGGGACAATTGAGAATCGAACAAACAGTATTGCTCTACGAGGTGGAGTGAGTATTCGTGAAGATCGATGCTGACAGGAGTCTTGTTGACATTCAACTAAAGAAAGTTAGAGCTCATCCAGCATTTATCTACTGGTCAGAACAGCAGTGGTCCTGGAATCAAGGGCAGAGACTGAGAGATAAGAGTTCAGAGTCAATCAATGTGGAACAAAACCCTATGCCTGCAGGTAATGTCACCAAGTGTGGGAGCAAATAGTTGGCAAAAAGGAGAGGATCAAAGATAGAGATGTGAGTACCACACATATGAATATGCCAGATGGGAAAAGCTATTGAAGAAACTAACTGTGATTAGTAAGATTGAATTCAGTGAAGGGCAGGTGGAGCAGGGAGGAAACAAACATTGTTTTGCATAGGGAACCAGCAGATTAAACAAAACCCTCGGAGTAAGCTGGTGTTCCTTATGTGCAGAGTATTATTTACATTATTTTGCAATTAACCACTCTGTTAGAAACTGGATATTGAAAAGCACTTTTAGTAAGATATCCATTGTATACAGTAGATCAACCGATCAACATCTCCCAAGTGTGCAATGTTAGTACTTCTACAAAGGTCTGCAATTCAACTGAAGCAGTTCTCAGTGTTTACAACTTCCTCCAGGGAATGTTTCTCACCTTTTGGAATTCCCCTAAGCAATGTGTCAGTTGCAATTTATGAAATCATTGTGGCATCAAAGCAGATATTAACAAGTACAATTTATTCAAAATATATACAACTGGTTCTTTTAAATATTCTTAATAATATCACTTTGTATTGTAAACCAAACAACTGGCACCTACATACAGTTGAGAGTCCAGTAGTTACACTAATTGTGCGGATCACTGTGGATATGAAAACTCTTGATAATGGAGCTCTGTGTATTGTTGTATATCTTTCTAATGCTCTGATTGACTCTCATTTTCTCTTTCCAATCTTCTGCTCCTCAAAGTGGTTCTGAGTGTCTCTCTGCCCTATATCTGGATTACTACACTTGACAGTGTATCTTGTGAAGCAGTTTGAGCCATCCTCCTGACATGAAAGGTGCAATACCAAACGCAAGGTTTATTCTTATCCAGCTCCGTCTCTCTGCCTCTACTCTCGATTCTGGGACCACTGCTGTTCTCACTGATTGCATGTCAAACGTCACGTCTTGGATATGCTTTTTTAAAAACCTTTTTCAGCAAAACATAAGACAAGACAGAGGCTCTCCTGTTTGACTCGACAGAGTCTTCTCACCTCAAGCCAAGGATGCATAGTTCACCTCATAGAGCCCGTTCAGATTTTTGGGGTCTTATTTGAACGTAAACTCCACGTCCGTTCTTTAATCCATTCATCTTTTGCTCACCTCTGTAATATGGCCCGCCTTTCCCACAACCTCTTGGCTTGGGCCATACAAGAGCAGGAAATTAGGATTAGTTATTTCCATTGGCAGAGCTATCACCAGCAAAGGTTTAATGGTCCAGATAGCCTTCCTTTTGCAGTTCTATTCTAATCCTAATGAACAATTTATCAATGCAATTCACTGATTGTAGATTTTGGGTGAACAATGTAACTCACAGCTTGTTATAATGTACAAAACCATTGGCTTCAAATTCCATCCCCCCGCCCTCCCCCTTACAAATGGGAACATGGATACAGCCTGAAAATAATTTCTAGCAAGTCAACAGGATGCAGAAGCATTACAAGTGCAAATGGGCCAATTCTGAAGTCAGAAAAGGAAGTTTTTGTTTGTTTGGATCATCAGCTGCAATAGCTGCCAAAAGCAGGAGTGGAAAAAAATTGAGGGGTTTTCAGTAGTATGAAATTAGTATTGTCCCATAGATTTCTTCAGGCTGAATGATAGACCTAATGTACGGTAGGTGGAGCAACACATGAAAACTGGAAGATTCAACAAAATCCACTAAGAATATTTGTAAAACTGGATACGTTATTGGTTCAGATGAATTAATTTTATTGGACAACTGAGCTACAGTCTACACTCAGTATATCGATGAAAAGGAATAGTTAAATTACATTTGCAACCAAACATTAGAAAATAACAGAATTGATCAGCAGTTTTCAACACACAAAATAGAAGAATGCTTTATAATTAGTGTAAAGGTACCGTGGCACAGAAATACTTTAATTGTTTCAATCACCTTTACAGAAACTATTAAAATCACATCATTGAATGTCTAATCTACTTGTGTTTCCATGAAATCTTTCATCACCAGAGGATCAAACATAAACATTATAGATTTTTATTACGATTAGATAAACCTTCAGGCTAGTGAAATATAATCTTCAGCTTTACATGGNAAAAAAATTGTATTGCACTGCAGGTAAACAGTACACTCATGCAGTTTATTTTTGTTACAATGGTTCAGTTAAATGTGACAGATGACCCTTGCTCACATTTAAAACTGACCTGAATTAAAAACAATGCAGGAATTCTATATACACAGAATTTTGCTGCGCCTTTTTTTTTAAAACATCACAAAACAGACACGTTAATTCACATTCTTGATTTTACAGGTGCAAAGTGATCTGAGAAATCGAGGCTTCTTCATTAACCAACTATATAATGCTGATTGTGAACAAAATCATTTATATTGCAACACAACAGAAAATTGTTCCATCTAAATGAAAAAAAACACGCACACGAATGACATAACAGGTTTCCTACGGCAATTCCAAGGTCAAGTATTATGCTGTAGTCTCGCTTTCTTCTGGTCGGAAGGCACAGGAATATGCTGGTGACTTTGTACAGTCAGTCAAGAATCTGGTTGATAAAAGCCATCTGAATGGATTTCCCATAATTTAATACAGAAATGGTTTGCGCTCATTATTTTATGACAGATGTAGAATTTACATTATATCCAAGAGCTTACAGATATAGCACTTCAGTGTATAATAGAAGTATTTGCTGTTCAAAGTCTCATTGCAGAGCAAGAAAAACCTGCCCATCATATGAAGAGAGCATTGGAAACAGCAAAAACAAACAAAAAAAGACACAACAAAATACAGAGATACTGTCACCAAGTCATCTTTATACCCAGCACATAAAACAGTAATATACACACAAAATAATATTAAGTGCAAATATCTTTGGAAGTTGGAATAAAATAATTAACAGAACAAAATAAAAAGGCAGAAAATTAACTTCAAGTACAAGGTTTCAGCCTGAAAGCGGCCCGTCTAGTGTAAATGGACTGTCTTCATTTCACTTTTTCCTCTGGAATACATTCGCCAACATTGCACCCGAGGTGGTCAACTGACCCATTTTATTAAAGAATCTGGTCTTTGTGTCTTCACTTACAAGACTCGCAGCGATGGACATGGAGCTTAAAATAATAAAAACATTTTAGGTTCAATGAATAAAACATTCATAACTTTTGTTTATGTCTCTGAGAGATTTTGTCTCTGAAAACTCGCAAGTTGTTTAACAATTATTTGAAATTGAAAATGGAATTTTAGAAAACCTTAGCAGACACTGAAACCCTAAAAAGGGTAGTGTTCTACCTCAACACCCACCTTAGGCATCAACCTGGCTTAGATAGTGGCACTCTCGCTTCTGAGTCAAGAGGTTGTGGGCTCAAGCCCTGCATCGGACTATGAACTCTAGTCCGAAACTGCAATACAGTGCTGCAATAACGTTCCTCAGATAAGATATTTAACTGAGGTCCTGCCGGTCTGTTCAAGTGGACATTAAAGATCCCCTGTCACAGTTTGAAAACAGAAGGGAATTTCTCCCGTGTCCTGGCCAGCAGTCCCCCAGATAAAATTGGTCATTCATTTCATGACTGTTTGTGGAAAATTGCTATACACAAGTTGGCTGCTTTCGTTTACAAAGCACAGTCACACCACTTTACAGTAAATCTGTGAAGTGGTTTAGCCATCACAAATTAGTTTGCATGAAGAAGGCCCTTTGGCCCCTATTTGATCTCATCCTTCCAAAATACCTACCCTACCTTCCTCTTGTTACAACATCAAGCTGTTTTTAAATACTTCCAGTGTCCTGCCTCAACCACCCTTCCTGGCAATCTGTTCCAGTTGTTAGTTACTCTGAGTAAAGAAGGATGGAACCTCCAACAGCGCTCCTCCATTATCACCTTAGTGTCAGCCTAGATGATGAACTGCTAGTATGGGGCGTTGACCATATCATTGGTTGTTAAAGGCTAGATTTAATCATCATTTTCTTATATTCAGTTTCTACCCCAAATCGCTGAGTATTACTTAGCATTATGTGCGAGCATAAACTGGCCAAATTTCTTACTAATGTGAACTTGTCGATTGTTGAGACTTGGAGGCATCAGAAAACAAACTGGATTTTGCACTAATATAAGGAATGGTTAAATGTTATATACAAAGACAGATCTGCAATAAGTCCTTCCTAACTGAAGTTAATTTGTTAGAATGTCTTGTTAAACTCGTTTATGAGAGTTATATTTATAACAAATATTCTCCAAGAACAAAACCTTTTAAACTTGGTTCTCCACCCACATTTTGAGACTAATTTGGATTCTTATGACATCCAGCATACGGATGCCACTTTCTTTGCTTCAGCAACACACGCAGTGTGATTCCTAAGGCATAATTACCTCTGAGGTTCTTGGACGGTTCTGTTTTCCACCTTCTGCTCGCATTCCTTTATCATAGAGCTGAGAATAACCTGAAATTATACAAACACTTATTAACAAGTATTGTAATGAAAGTTTGCAATAAGTCTCATTTGCAAACCGCAGCAACACTAGCGTGTCACCGCTGAACGACAATGTATTCAGAACTAGCTGTAATGTGCACAATTGCCATAGCTTGAAAAAGGATTTTGGCATGATAGAGTTTTATTTTTTTTAAAAAAAGTTAAAATAATTCACACGTTAACATTTAGAACTATAGAAATTTACAGTAAAGAAGGCCATTTGGCCCATCAGGTCTGTGCTGGCTGGTTCTTTGAAGAGCAATCCTTTCAGTCCCATTAACTCCCGTCTTTTTCCCATAACCTTGGAGCTTACTGCTTTTTATGTATATATCTAGTTCCCTTTTGAGGTGAGTTCTCACACCAATAAAAATGCAGCATTTGACCCAAAGTGAGAACCAACAGCCAACCAGAGTGGTAGGGATCAAGCTCAACTCCTTCCATATTGGACCCGAATACCTGACCTTATCCGTTCTGCAATCTGATGCTAACCAGAGATATCAAACAGCTGCAATGTTATATGGAGAGCGGTGACAATAAATTATATATTGAGATTTCACTTGTTTAGTCAGCTACATACAACAAATACATGGTGCACATTAACTACTCCATGCATACAACAACAACTTGCATTTATATAGCACCCTTCATGCAGGGCAGAGTACTGGAGCGCTTGACAATGGAGGAGTCTGACCCTGAGCCAGGGATAGATGGAAGGGGAAAGTGACCATAAAGACGTCCTCCCGACATGAAAGGCAATGTAATTTTGTTGTTGTTGTAAGCACGATCAAAAAGGAAGGTCTTTAGGTGGGATTTGAAAGTAGGGAGGAAAGGGGGAAGCGGAGGGATTGAGGGAGAGATTTCTAGAGTTTCAGGGCATAGTGGCTGAAGGCACGGCCACCGATAGTGGAGCAGAGGGGACGAAGGAAAAAAGGAGACTGGAGGCAGCGGGTGGTGGAGTGGAGGATAAGCATATTAGAGAGGTAGGGAAGTGTGAGGGCATGAAGAGGTTTGAAAACGAGTGAGAGGATCTTGAAATCAAGCTGTTCGGTAAATGGGAGCCAGTGCAGTCTGAGAAGGACTGATGTGATGGGGGTACAGAGTTTTCTGCGGGTGAGTGTCCGGGCAGTGGAGTTTTGAATTAGTTGAATTTTGTGCATGGTGAAGCTGGGGAGACCAGTGAGGAGGGCATTGGAAAAGTCCAGCCAGGAAATGACGGAGGCGTGGACGAGGGGTTCGGCTGCTTTGGTTGTGAGGTACAGACAAAAGCGGGCAATGTGACGGAGGTGGGCAATGTGACGGAGGTGGAAAAATGCGGTCTTTATCAGGGAACCGATGTGGGGTAGAAAGGAAAGCTGGGGATCGAACCTGACACCTAATGTGTGCACAGGTTTGGTGAGCCTGAGGGAGAACCTGGGGAGGTTGAGGATTTCAGACCTGCAGGAGAAGACGTTGACAGGAGCCAAAGAGTACGGCTTTCGTTTTGCCAACGTTCAGCTGCTGGAAATTTGCGCTCATCCAGGCCTTGATGTCCGTCAAACAAGATGACAGGACATCAGCGAACTGGGAGTCGCAGCTGGAGGAGGAGAAGTAGATTTGGGTGTCATCTGCATACATGTGGAGTTGACCCCATCTAAGAGATTTTTCACATTTGTGGAGGACATTTACATTTTCATAAGCTTTTTAAGCTTCAGCCACACCCAGTGAACACTAAGGCACTCATCTCAGATCTGCACAACAAACCTCATGTTCTGGTGAGAGGTGCTCCATATCTATTCGTAAATACTTTAGTCCAGGAAGAAAATGATTAACCATCAGTTCTTCTGAAATAACTGCAAATAAAGCTGTTAAGGAACATGATGTGGCAACTTTGGTTACAACTTACACATTTAATGCAGTACACTTACCGAAGCTTCAAATCACGAGCATATTGATTTCCTTATATACACAATTATTTAAAGAGCAAGTACCACACCATGCAAGATTAAGATGTTAGAAAAATTTGAGAGCTTTATTGTCCTAATATTTGAGAAATACGTAGTAGGACAGCAAGTAAAACCTAATCTACATAATATGACTAAACATCCAAACTGTTGCCTTATTTCCCTGGTCTAACAGCATTTTGCCAAGTGGACAGACTGTTCTCCAGTCAAATGTGGTCAACCTGAGTCCAACTCAACCCATTACAAACAAATATGAAACAATTTCAGCAAAGAAATAGATAAATGGTTTCTTTGGCATGCTAAAAAATACAAAATTTTCATTTTATGCTATATTGTGATATTTACTGAAGTAAGGATACAGCAACAGGAAAGAGCACTGTAGGCCTCGAAGAGTTGAATGGCAATGTCCAGTCTTTTCGTGTCAACAGTTTGTTGGTTGTTGGAGATGGCCAATTTATGCAGATGAGGGAGAACAACTATACATGAAAAAACAGAAACTGTTAAAATACAATATACGTTGTTATATAGTGTAATATACATTGCAATATATATTATTCATAGGTCTGTGCACCATGCACCAAGAGCCAATCCATATCACTATTCATGGACTCTGTAATCTTTTTGACACCGATCTCTCATCACAGCTTTTCATCTGGTCCTCAAGCAAGTCTGCTTTCCCCCAACGCCACAATATCTCTGCCACAGAGCCCCACCCCCCCCCTCCCCCACCAATGTGGATGAAACCCTCATTCAGACCTTTGTCATCTTCAAACTGGATTTCATTCAATCTTCTCCTTACCAGCTTTCTGCCTCAACCCACCACAAGCTTTGGTTTATCCAGCACTCTTCAACCCATACCATCTCCAGCATTGCCTCTTTGCCCCACCACCCCACCAAAAACTTGAGAATGTTGTAGCGCAAGCTTATCATCCCTATTCTCATTAGACTCCACTGGCTTCCAATTCCCCAAAAGATCAATTTCAAGATTCTCATATCATATAATACTTGCATTGGATATAGCGCCTTATCACATTGTTGAGTCGTCTCAAAGATCTTCACAGAGTATATTGTAAAGTGTTTTTTTAACTGTGTATTTTGTGGGTGAAATGTAGATATCATGCTAGGTGAAAGGGCCAATGTATGTATCTAAGTTGTTGTATTCTAAAGCCAGTTATGCTTATGCAGTGATAAGTAAACTATCTTCTCATCCAATGTTCCTTTCTCTTGCCTATGAGAAATATCTGGCCTCTACTTTTAAAATTAGCAATTCATTATTGGATTGTGCACATTACAGTATAGTAGAATGTCGTAACCTTCCTGCATAATATAACCAAGTTAAGCTTGAACCATTACACATGATGACTTTCTTTCATCCTTTTTTCTCTCTTTCCCTCCCTATCATATCTGCAAGATTCTCAAGTTTTGGATGGAGGAGAAGGGGAAAGAGACAAAAAAAAAAAAACACTTTTCCTTAAGCAAGTCATAAAGTGACTTCTAAGAGGTGCACAAATGTTGTGGCTAACTGTTTCCTTGTGCTTATTTGACAATCACTCCAGGATCTTACTATGCAGGAAACGAGGAAAGACTAGTTATATTACTCTATGGTATAGAACATCTATTCATTTTATTTACAAAGCTGCAAAAACTAATTGAGAAATATTACTTCAGCTTCAAAGAGGTAAGGATTCAGAAATAACATGGACAGAGTAGAACACTAGCAAAACACAGAATCTCTTTAGTTAGACTTCATGAAAATAAATGTTCGAGATCAGATTCTGTGGAATGTGATGGAATTATTTGTTAAAATAATAGTCCTTACATTATATAGCCATAATGCCATTTTCCTTACTTATCACACAGTAATTTTTGTTCGACTTTCACAAGACTTCAAGATCTAGATCTTTGACCAAAGATGGACTTAGAATATTCCACAGGTGTTGTTTTAGACAGCAATTAATATCCTTTGATGCACATCCAGCAATATCAGATTACTGAGACATTTAGAAAACACTTTGATAGTTAAGCTAACTTGATTTTTGAGAAGTGAGCCATGTACAAGACAATATTTTTATTTCTTTCATTGCAAATCTTTACTGTGTTGGAAAATATCTAAAAAAAATTATATTCTCAAAAATAATTGCATAGATTTTAATCTAAATGAAAATGAATCGCTTCATTGAGAATTCATATGGTGTGGCCGCAAAGCTTACATTTCAGCAGTGCAATCCATTTCTTAACAGTACAAATAAAGAACAATTACATTTGATTCAGATCATTAACTATATAAGTTAACATTTCCTGGAATTTCCACTATATGCATGGTACTGTGTTTCCGCGCATGTGCCAGATACCCAGCTGACCAACACTCCCGAAAAAAATCTTTGTAAAAGTGACAATAGTCACGCAGTGAATTGCAATAGGAGTCACTGAAAACTAAAATTTCTACCAGAAATCGGAAGTGCATCGTTTCAACCTAAGATCATTCCACTAAATAAATAATCCTTGAATTTGAAGTGGATCAAGTTGAATTCCTGTGGTTCAGCGGGGTTGCACTTGTGGTTATTGGCAGGAGTTTACTCAGGACTCTCCTATTACAAGTGGCTGCATATGACAAACGAACGAGATCCAGAATGGAATCTAGGCATCTTGAAATCCACTGAATTGATCCAACGTTGAAACAACAACTTGCGTTTATATCACGCCCTTCATGCGTCAAGCGTCTCGGGGCGCTTTATGACCAAATGGTGAAGGAAAATCCAACTGATCTTTGTTGAAATTTTCTGAAAACCTTCTCCTAAATGTGACAAATAACTATCCATGAAAAAGTATCATTACACAACCTACACCTTTTGGGGGTGGAGAGGAAGTTAAAAAAGAAGACGTGAGCGAAGAACGAACAAAATAATAAAAAGAAGAATACTTACACTCGTCTCTAAATTTTGGTTCGGCATTAGGTCCAACTCTTCCAAAAGTCTTTATTATTTCCATGTGCAGAGAGTGCTGATCATGATACTGTGGATCCTCCAGAAATGACGCCAACTGCATCTTAACTCGTTCCAACAGCTGATAAAACCAAATCACTTGATTTACCATTATTTCAATGCATAAGTCACTGATAAAAATGGATATTTTGTCAACCTACTGTGTAAGTCTGACCTGCACCAGTATCAGGGGAGAGGGGGTGGGGGAACCTTGGGCAGTAGTGTCTAACTGGGGTCAGTATATAGGTGCACTGCAGTTTCAATATACATCGTAATATATTGGTGTCTTGCTCTTTGAATTCTGTGGTTTCTTGACTCCAATATGTAACACAGATAATGTTATTCTATTCCATTGTTGGACTACCACCTTTAGTGGATCTTTAATGTAATAATGACACTAAATTGGAGCAGGGTTTTGCAATCCCATACAACAGTTTGGAACTGCTGACGAATAAGAGTTTTGAACACATAACTATTGTCTTTATCTTCCTCTAACTTACAAGTGGTTACACACCATATTATACTACCATACACCAATTTATGCTTGAATCAGCAAACAATAGGTGTAAACAAACTTGGTGTAGGGCTGCAGAATCTCACCTTGATTCAGGTGCATTACCTTAAAAACATACCAAGGTGCCTGTCTGAAAATAAAAAAATAAAACAGCATTTTTATAGCATCTCATTTTAAATGCTTCAAAGCTCTTCATGGGTAATTACTGTCAATTGTAGTTACTGTTTTGTAGGCAAACAATAACATTGTTTTGGCCCAGTGCAACTGATAGGGTGGACAGAATCGTAGAAACTAACATCGTAATGTACATTAAAGCTGCAGTAAACATACTTAACAGTGTAAGTCAGACTATTAGCTAAATACAAACTCAAGAATATCACTGCGTGTGTGAGTACATGGCTGTGCACGTAGAGGGATTGCGACTGAATTTTGGAGGAAAACAGAACAAATTGCAATATGACAACTGAAAGTGAGATAGTGTTATTTATTACATACCACTTTTGCTTGCTGAGCAAATGGAAATGCACTCTTCGCTGGTCTCCCTAGGTCCACCAGGCATAAACTTTACACTTTATCCAAAACGCTGCTGCCAGTAGCCTGTTTATCCCCTCCTTTTGGCGAACTCAAACCTGCTGTGTGTTCCCTGCTCTCTCCACACCCGAATCAGTGTCTGAGCCTTGAAATTCCACAACCCCAACCTCTGGAACTCCTTCCTTCTACACCTCAATCTTGCCCCTTCTATACCTGTCTTTAGTCCTGCCTTAAAACCTACCTCTTCGACCCCTCCCCATTCCCTCTCCCCTGCTCAGCATCCAACCCTGTAATCATAAAACACTCTTAAGACATTATCCTGTGTGAAGGGTGCTATATAAAGCAAGTTGTTGTTGATACCTCTCTTTGGGTCACAGTTTCCATGATGGTGCCAAAAGCAGGTATTGTAGCTATTCGGACAGAACTGCAAAAATTACAGAAGAACAACAAATATCAGGACCCGTTGCATATCTCAAATATATTTTAAAAAAACAGCAATAATTGAAGTTAGTATGTAAGTTTTGGTAGTTACAATTTTGTTTTATAGTCAATGGATGTAATTTTCTACAGTCAATTGTAGTTTTCTCCCCAGGATTACATTTGTGCTTGCGTTGAAACTGGCTGTACTAGGGTACATAATCATCAACAATTCTTCAAAAGACACCTCAAAATATATTTGTATTTTTCTTTACTTTTGCACTCAGAAGCAGACCACAATAGTTCTTTCCAGTTCTGTAAGTTCCTACATTCCCATGACAAGATGGTGAAAGAAACCTACTTAACCAGTTTTGAAGCACTCTATCCACTCTTCATGTAGAGATCGGCTATAAGCAGGTCAGGCTGATTAGCCATTTGTGCCTGGAGAGAATACTACAATACTATCAAACAGAAGTCAGTGCACTTGTCAGAACAGACAAATAAGTTTGATTTGTTTTAAAAGTCTATGGGTCTTAGTCCAAACAACTCACAATTCAGGGTCACTGGATAAGGTAACAAGGGCCGGAGCAACTCGCTTGTCAATTAAGGCTTCACTCATGCCTCGTACGATCAGCTGTAACCAGTCAAAAATGCAACAAAAATAAAAAAAATAAAACCATCGTTGGGTAAACATAAAAGCGAAAAAAAAGTGATTAGTTAACCAATGTGCACTCAGAGTCAGTCCATTCAAGGAAGAAGTTAATCACCAAAACAAAACACATAATAAAGTTAAGGCCTATGCACATGCTCAAGCCCTGGTAAAATTCAACCTGTGAGAGATTAGCAGGTTAAACAAAAGCAACACATCCCTTTTGCTTTGAAAAACCACCCATCTAATTTTGTAGTTCATGATATTTCTTTTGGAGGCTACATATCCAAACAGTTCAAGTCATTGCTCACTATTTTTGTTGTTTTAAACCTCTGTATCAAAATGATACCAATATTTGCTGCTAATATTTGGACCCTCACCTCACTGGTCACCAAGAATAAAGCTGTCAGATACTAAGATTAATTCAGTATATATCTTGCTGTGACACAACTACTTGTTTGATCAGCTGCCAAAATACTGCTCACACAACTAATTAAAAATTATTCATAATTGTGGAATCTCTCTGTAAAGCAGATTTCAAATGAGACTAAAATCTGCACTGCACATTTCTCTGCTTGTATTTCCCTATTGCTTTCTTAGCCAGTGAGCAACCTTTGCATTCTGCTTGATGACCAGATCTTCTTCAAACCCAAAACCTGTCATTTACCAAGACCATCCTTTTCCATCTTTTGAGCAATAGTTGTATTCGCTTCTACATCATTCTTTCTGCTGGTGAAATCCTAAAGACATATCGCTAGACTCCCCCCTCCACCACCCTCCAATCACCACTGACTCAACTCTTCCAAACGCTGCAGCTCATAGTCTCTTCCACATCAGGCTCTGAACATCCAGCAACCCATACTCCCTAGGCTTCCACTGCCCTAGCAGATCAACTTCAATTTCCTTTATGGCCTTGCCCCTTCCTAGTTAAGCATTACCTCCAACCCTAGTCTTCTCAGATTTTGGTCCATTGTGTGTTCAATTCCTCCCTCCAACCACTTTAACCACGATGGGTTCCAAGTAGGTTAAAGACAACACAATGATTCACAAATTGGTGCATCTCCAGAAAAAAATACCGACCCTTTCTCTTACAAATGTAGTTGTTTTTACATTTACAATGACCAATTCAGTTTAATTTGTCTCTTTGGACAGTGATATTTCCTTTTCAGCTATTAATAAAATCGTTGGTGTATCTCTGCATGCGTAAGAGTAAGGAGTGTAATTGGAGGGTAATTTCTCAGTAAGCTCATAAAAAGGGATGTGTTTGAACTAGCTTGGAAGAAACTTACATTTCAGGGTCACTGGAGAGAGTGATAAGAGCAGGGACAACTCTCTGAGCTACCAGAGTCTCATTCACCCCCTTCACCAACAGCTGATTGGGCAGAACAGGGGATGTCACATATGATGCGTGGAAAGAGTGAGCAGAGTATCATGGGAAGTAGCATGGCACACCGAAGAGAAGAACAAAAGAGCAAACAAAAATTAGAGGCCAAGCAACAATTTCTACAGAACAGCTCAACAATTATAGGGTTTGAAAGGCTAACAGCTCTAAATTCCTAGGAACCTTTTTCTACCAAAGCTCACCAATACCCTCCAAATGAACCTTTTTAACTCAACAGTACGTCTGGTACTGTATCAGTTTGTTCAGCATCAACTTTCCAAAAGCATTGTTACTTAGAAGTAATCCACTGCTAGTTATCTCCGAACTAACATACCTATATGCCCGATTGCATGTTCTTACATGATAAGTGTATAAATTGAACTAATGCCAAAATTCAGTGTGAATTTTCCCCAAGTTTTCAAATATAGGAGAATCATTTCATATCACAGTTCGCTTATCAAGCGATTGGTGTGCGGACCTCAATATTTACTTACTAAAACATCCGTCGGCCGCTTTGCTTCATATTGTGGTTTTACTGCTCTTGTGCTAAAAAAGTGTCCGACTTCAGGGTCATCGGGTTGCCTTCATGCATTCTCATTTTGGCTTCGCATCGGCTAAATACGGCTAACATTTGAGTTGTCAGTCACTGTTAATATCACTTCCTGTGCACTGCAGCACCAATAAAAGAGTACTCTCACAACTCTTTACATCGGGTAATGAATCTCGGGGCTGAAAACGATCACTTGTCTCTTTCTGCCTTCTGCTGACAGGCAACTTTTCTCAGTTCAAACTAAATTTAGGGCTCCAGGAGCACAATACAATACTATATTTCTAACGTCACTTAAAACAGTCAAGTCACTGTTCCAATCAAGTATGTCAGCTTTGGTAGACACAGAAACAAAAAGGATTCCGCACCCTGGCTAACAAAGCTTAAATTTTAAAGCATGCAAGATTATAATTATATTGCGTGAATAACTAAAGCACATAAGAATTGATCAAAAAGGTGACAGCTACACAATCACACGCTGCTGTAATTAGCTATAAAACATTCTGTATGTGGCACATTGATTAGCATTATACTGTTAAGGAACACAACAATGAATCATTGTATTAAATAATAAAGTTCAACTTTAGAGCAAATAGTTTTTGCTATTCAATTATGTAGCGTGCCTAATTTACATAAAACCTCAACAAGCACTTTCATTTTAAAAAGTTAAGACTTTAAAACAAAAATTATGAAGTGTAACTTGGGGCATTTCTCAACAGGGTTTCTTAATAAGGAATCTATCCCGACAGCAAATGGGGTGCTTCCAGTAATTGCAAGAATATCATGCTGGCCAGCAGGAACTTCACAAGAATTTACTTTCGGAACTAGGTTTCTGTGGGTTGGCAAGAATTCTAACATTTTTGATTAAGGAATCCCATCAAAAATATCATAAATTAAATCTGTATGAGTTTTTTTTACAATTGGAAATCTTACCTCAAACATCCTAGCACCAGTGCATCTGACAAGTGCTGATGTATGTACAACGCCATACCATAACACTGTTAATAGCAACTCGTGGTATGCTGGGTTTGCTCTAAAGAGAGAAAAAAAATCTTTGCATTTGATATAGCACCTTACCACGTCATTGAGTCAGATCATATTTTAAACAAAATCAGACTATGTTTACCAAACAATCACACTATGAAATCCTAATATTTGAGAAACTGCCATCTCACTGCATATACATCCCAAACAAAGCCAACACTTTAATAATAATAATAAGTAATAATTATTCTTAATAAAACAGTTCTTTTCAAAAAAATTTTTACGTTGCCAAGTTCTGCCTCTCAGTCTGTGGACATTAAACTCCTTTTCCCTTATACTGATCTACAGTTCTATGGGTTCAATTTCCCCTTATTCCATAGCACCCAACTGGTCATTATTCATATAGTGAATAGAGTGCATCAGAGTCAAGCCTGATATTGTCCTCTTGAGGCATCCACACACATGCATCTCTCAGCAAGAGTCAGAGGATACCTTAATATTGAATTTGAATGGCACAAATGGGGTTCTCGTTGGTAATGAAGTTTACTTTGCTAACCAGTGGGAACTCCATTCTAACAGAAACTACTTTATGTGTTGGAGTTCTTGTGTAACTCTAGCTGATTTCTAGCTGAATAATATTATTATTATTTTCCCCTTCCTCAACCAGGGTGCATTCCTACTATATAAACTTAAACAGTGAACCCAACAGAGACTGGGAATCTCTCCAAACCATAATCTTTCTGATACAGTTAATGATCCACTGGGAAGTTGACAATTGGGTCAAAGTTGGCAAGACTTCTGTGCCTGCATTACATATGAGCATGCCTTTTGAATAAGACGTTTCACTAACTATAATTCATCATTTACTTACCCTAGTTCCACAAATGAAGCCTTCAGACTATCAAGGGGTGCATGGGATAAAGAAAGTGTTGTCATTACATCTTCCAAAAATCCCACTAAGAGCTTCCGATCTTCTTCCTATGGTAGATACACACTGTTACTAAACAATGCAAATTCTAACTACTGTACTAAATTAAAAAGAGAGTAATGTTTCTGAGATTACAAATATAACATTTTCCTTACCTGGTTGTAACAGGTGAGTACACCAGTTGCATAGATGGGAACAGTAGCCTTTGTTAGCACACCGTTGCCAGCTGTAACCGAGGCATCTTTTGGAAAAAAACGTTAATGTACAGTGTTATTAAGTCCTGTATAAAATTACTTTTAGAAATAATTTATTTATTGTTAAGGACAACTATGTTGTTTTTAAACTGATGTCAATCTTGGGTCAGTTGGTAGCTTGCACTCTCACATTTCAGCTCATAGTCTAGGCTTCAACTCATAGTCTCGGCTGACACACTGCAGTCCTGGGGAAGTGCTCTAAAGTCATAAATCCCTTATCAAGTCTGATCTGCCTGTTTGGGTGACCAATCCCACAACACCTTTCAAAAAGACAGAGTTATAAAAATGGTCATTCACTTCCTGGCTGTTTGTGGGACAATGCTGTGTGCAATTCATCTAAAACCTTCTTTAAAAAAATGAGAGATTTACAAATTTAAATTATACCAAGTATTCTAATTTCAGCAGAGCAATGTAAAATGAGAAGGTTATAAATAGAAAATGAGGTTGTCAGTGGGTAATACAAAGGTGTGGCTTACCAACAACTTCTTCTGATAGTCTCAATATTTCTTGGAACTGAGGTTTCACCTAAGGTTGTATCATATATTGCATGTTAGACTGAAAGCCGCCACAATCCATAGTCACGCATTGATTACAAAGAAACTATAGATTACATGCACACTTTTAAAAAAAATTGTAATTTTAGAAAACAGAATGATAAGATATTTTAAAATATAGTTTGTAAAAGAAAACAAGTGTAAAAACCAAGTGAACAGATTAACATCACTGGTTTGCTTGTTTATCAGCAATACAAAGCAAGTTAAGCAGTGTAGTCATTACAATATTGAAAGCAGGTCATTAGCAGGTTTTTTTAAGGCTGGTTTGGGCTCCCAAGATGGTTTCATATTTCAATTGAGCTGAGCAAAATCTTTCTCCTTAGTGTAGGATTAGCTCCTGCTGCTCATTTTCTGTGTTTTTACCATTTGCTCAATAAACTGATGTATGTTTGGTAATTCCTATCTTTAATTAGCAATTGTACAATTGGATGTCATGAAAATAACACTGATAAGGGGAGAAATAGTTTGACAGAGCTAAGCATATTTTAAATGCAATTAAGCAGAGCCAAAAAACACATAAACTGACATTGACCCTTTCAATGTTTGGCTCCTGGAATTCATTCCCATTGTTTATAATATAAAACCTATAATGACCACAAGACAAATGTCAGTTATATTATGCTCCAAGGATTAAAGTTATTTGCACCTTTGTATTTGTAAATATTTTACCAAACGTTCGACACAACCTCCAGAAATAACGGGAGAAGTCATGAACACATGACGTTGAGCCAACATTAATTTTACCAACTGTTTCTATTAAGTTTGGCAATCTGCAAATAAAGTAAAATAGAGTTAGTATATTTACAATACACCAATGAAAGTTTAGATTTATATCATATCGGGAGGACGTTCCAAGGCGCTTGGCACCCGAGCTGGGCGTGGGAGCCAAGGGGGGTGGGGAAGGGAAAGATGACCAAAGGCGAGATCAAAGAGGAAGATCTTGAGACAGTTCTTGGAAGAGGTGTGGAAGGGGGCAAATCACAAGTTTTAGAAAGTGGGGCCAGATTGGCTGAAAACCCGACTACTAATGATGAGGTGGGTAGGGCAGGGGACATGAAACAGGTCATGTTTGCTGAGTCGAGGTAGCGGCAAGGTCATTATGGTCTGAGGAGGTTGCAGAGGTAGGGTGGGTCAAGACCATGGAGGGATTTGAAAGCGAGAACGAGGATCTTGAACTGAATTCGCTGATTTGATTAATTCTGAGCTCTTAGTATCTATTTAATGAATAATGAAATTTCTGAGTAATGGAACCATCCTTCCTTGTGCAATATTGCAACAAAACTATTATTCTGTAACCTGTAATGTTTTAATCACCAAGCTTTTTCTTCTATAAAACTTCTTATAACAAGTATCGAAAATAATGTCCAATTTCCAAACAGAAGGTGAAAATGTTCCAGTATATGTTTCAAATTAAGTAAACAGATTGCTTTGAACAAAATCCCTCATGCCTGCTAACATTAATGATGATAATGATGATGATAATTCTGAATTGTATAACTCATATAATTGCCTAAGTGGTACATCTGCCTAAGTTTCCGTTGAAGTGTTTATATTCTATGTAAGCTTAACATAACTCATACTTTGCAGAAGTCATATTAAATTGTACGGTCCCAACAGATATGACATATGTTAGATTTATTGTATATTGCATATAAAAATAATACTTTGGTCACTCAATCCACGGCTGTTTGTGGTTGCCAGGTTCTGCCCACAAAATATACAGTCAATTCATTTTACAGAATACTCTGTGAAGCACTTTGAGACGTCTTGAAAATGTGATGAAGCACTATATCAAATGCAAGGATTATTATTATTACTATTCTAAGATTTGCAAACACAAAATATTTCCTTTGTGATAACAAGTGTTTCTGTGTATAAAAGCTAAATTGGTCAGTAATTGACAGTAAGTAGATTTTGAAGCACATTGCACATAGTTGATAATAGGGACTCACAGCTGGTTGACAACCCACAAAAGACTCTCCCAGCCAGTGGTACCCTCATGTTCCAGTTGATGATCATACAGCTGCAACAGCACAGATAGTTGCTCTCGGCTTCCAATGATAGTTGCTACATCCTGAAGTGGAGATGCTGGTCGAGGGAACCTGGTCACTAAAAAAAAGTGAAATTCTGTTATATTTTCTAAAATACATTGAAGCCTTACTCTGATATCCAGTACTTTCTAAGTTCAATTTCTATTCCTTGTATTATTATATTACAGCATTTGCACAGTTTGCATTCTCAAATTCAAAGCAAGATAAAACCGAAAAAAATGTAGCAGTTTTAGATTAGCAATGTATGCATGTTGTAAAATCAATCCTGGATGTACAGGAAAACTAATTAATTTTTGACCTCAGTGAAAAGAGAGAAAGAGGGGATGAAGAAGGAGGTAAGAATGGTCTCCCTTACACCCTCCCATACCCTTCTGTTCATTTGGTCCCTCGTGTGAAAATCTAGCTTCCCTTTTGCTATGCATCTATATTGTCTGATTCAACCACCGTTTGGAATAGCAAGTTACACAATCTCACTACCTTATTGTGAAGTAGTTCCTCCTAAATTCTATTTTAGTTCCCCAAATCACTACCTTAAACTTATGCCCCTAGTTAAGGACTCTCCAACAAGTGGGAACAGTCCATTTATGTTAACTTTATCGTATCCTTTCATAATCTTGGAACACCTCTATTACAACAACTTGCACTTATATAGTACCCGCCACACAGGGTAGCGTCTCAGAGCGTTTAACAGTGGTGGAGCCTGACTCTGAGCTGGGAGGAGGTGGCCGTAAGCACGGCCGAAGAGGAAAGTTTTCAGGCGGGATTTGAAAACTGGGAGAGGGGGCAATGGGTAGGGAGAGGAGAGTGTTCCAAAGTTTTGGGGGGCAGTGGCTGAAAGCACGACCTCCGATGGTGGGGAGGAGGGGCGAGAAGGCGGCTGGTGCCAGTCGAACGGCAGCACTGGGTGGTGGATTGGGGAGTGAGGAGGTCGGAGAGGTAGGAAGCTGCCTGGGAGTGAATGTATTTGAACATGAGAGTGTGAGTCTCGAAGTCTATCTGTTCGGTGATGGAGAGCCAGTGGAGCCTGACCAGAACTGGTGAGATGTGGGTACGGAGTTTGGTCTGGGTCGGTATGCGGGCAGCAGAGTCTTGAATGAGCTGAATCTTGTGAATGGTGGAGCTGGGGAGACCAGCGAGGAATGAGTTAATGTAATCCAAGCGGGAGGTGACAAACACATACACGAGGGTTTCGGCTGCATTGGGGTAAGGTACGGTTGGAGACGGTCAAAGTGGCAGAGGTGGAAGAAAGCGGTCCTGGTCAGGGACCGGATGTGCGTGAGGAAGGACAGTTGGGGGTCGAACCGGACGCCCAGGTTGCGCACTGGTTCGTTGAGTCTGAGGGAGAGCCCAGGGAGGTTGAGCAGTTTAGATCCGCAGGAGTGAAGACGTTGATGGGAACCAAGGAGTATGGCTCGTCTTGTCCATATTCAGCTACAGGAACTTTACACTCATCCAGGCCATGATGTCTGCCAGACAAGCTGACAGAACATCGGTGATTTAGAGCTGGTACTGGAGGAAGCAAAGTTAATTTTGTGTGTCATCCGCATACATGTAGAAGTTTACCCCATGTCTGCGAATGACATCGCCCAGAGGGAGCATATAGGTAAGGTACAGAAGAGGGTCAAGGATGGAGCCCTGGGGTACTCAGCGGGTGACCAGGCAGGAGCGGGAGGAGAAACCATTAGCTGAGATGAAATGGAAGGACTCGAACCATGTGAGTCCGGTCCCACTAAGGTGGATGAGGGAGGAGAAGCGGTGGAGGAGGATGTGGTGGGACTGTATCAAACGCGGCAGAGAGATGCAGGAGAATGGAGGAGGCAGAGGAAGCTCTGATCACGGATAGAGAGAATGTCGTTTGCGACTTTGACAGGGATTGTCTCAGTGTCGGCTAGCAGGGGTGAGAGAAGGGGGAGTTGAGTGACCAGCAGCTGAGTGGGAAGGGGGTCGAGGCAGCAGGTGGTGAACTTCATCTGGGTGATTGTAGTTGTGAGGGAGGAAGGAGAAATGGGGGCAAAGGAGTGTAAGGAGGGGGGAGTGGCAGGAGCCATGGGGGAGGGAGAGGGTGGTGTGGATGGTCTAGGTGCGGTGGAAGGGGACTTGGGGGAGGAGGACAATGCAGCCAAACGGACGTTTTCAATTTTTGAGGCGAAGAAGTCTATCACCTCTTTGCACTTGGCATTTGATGTACTATTTGACGTATCCCTCTTAAATGTCTCTTCTCCCGTGAATTAGGAAAACTGGGTGCGTTTCTTCAGGGAGAAAGTGTGCATTCCACACATGGGAATTTCCATGCGTATGTAGGTGGATATTTTGAAGCATAGTGATGGATTTCTGCATGTGGCAGACACTCGGCTGACCAAAAAAGATTATTCCTCCTCACAGCATACACAAACTATCCATTGGTCGCTAAGGCAATCAAGCAAAAATCAGAATTCCTGATTAAAGAATCACTAACTTATCTTTTAATTTTTAGATCCTATTCAACCTGCCCTGCATTTCCAGATTTTATTTTTCACTTTTCTATATATAACCTTACTACATTCAATTCCATTACTTTTTAAGTATTGTTAATTAGAAGTACCCTCTATCTGGGGAACTCCTCCGTGAAGTTTTGCTTTGCTTGCAAACGGAGCATTCTGTATCACCAATGCAAACAGCGGTGGAATCAGTGACTGCATGGCTGAAAGATGCAGGTGGAGCTTATGCTCGTCAAGCCCATGCTCTCCATCCTAGGTGAATAAAAAAATTAGAAACAAATAATTTTCCAGGGATCAGCTAAGTCTCAGTAGATGATGTTTCATGAAAAAGAAGCATGCTTGGAACACATGGATCTATAAGAACATCATCAGTATATATCAGAAATCTTTGATGAAGGTAACCCAGCAGTAGTGGAATGTCATGTCATAGAATAGCAAGTTGTGGTTTCTAACCTGAAATACACACATGTTCTTAATCCCTGGGAAATAATCATTTTGAGACTTCTTGCTCTGAGGTGCCCTCTGTTCATGTACAGGCCTGACAAAAGCACTGACAACAGATCAGAATATTAAAATTACGCTCACAGAAAACTAGTACAAGCACTGACAATTTCAGAGTGCTTCCCCTGCTAGCAACCCTGTCTTTCAGAGTCGACTACTGTTGGGTTACCTTCATCAAAGTTTTCTGATATTTAATACCACTCATACTTCCATGCTCATGTGTACCCCAACAGATAAACTTGCACAACGAATTACTGGAGGACCAGGACTCAAATCCTTCTACAGACATTAAAGTGAATCAATGTTTTGCTTTAAAGACATATTTTTCTTCGAACATACCCTGAGGATTTTTTCGACGCTGCTTAGCAGAGTGGGAATGAGATGAGACTGGAGTTTACCCAATTCTGTGGTCCAGGCTGCGAAAGCTGGTAGGAAAACCTGATGCGTAGCATTAATCACCCTCTCCGAGGGGTCATTTAAGGCAGACATAAGCAGCTCAAAACCCTAAGAAAAACAAAGGTAATTTTAAAGAAAGCAACAAAAGAAGGGAATTTCCATGATCTAAATGAATGTACTCAGGTTCCTGGAACAATCCCACACCTGTAGGTATTTGTCAGGATCGTCAATGTATCCCATAATAATGCCAAGACTTTTGATGACTGCTTCTCGCACAAGGTCTGCCTTATCTTCTGCTAACATTTGCTGTAGCATTGATAGCACCAATGAACTACGAATCTCTTTCTGGAAATGGAAACCAACAAGATTTAAGTTAGGTCAAAATCAAATCACAAAATGGTTAATTTTTAAAAACATAAGAAGTGCAAATATTGCTTACAGGCAGGTAGGGTGCTAGTGCCCCACAGGATTCGGCCACTAATAGTCTTCGTTCTGGATACTTGTGATTGATCTTGAGAAATAAAAATGCGATAAAGTGAACATATTGTTCTCACTTTTCTTTCCCCTGTAGTGACACAATTTAGATGCAAGTTATACACACACGAGGCAGGAAACATAGTAAGGCAAATTGCAAAAACAGACCTGAATAAAGGAGATATTCCTGGTTAAAAGAATTTATTCTAAAGATTCTATTTCTTCATTCCTCTAAAGAGGATTATAGGAATACCTGTTGATTTTCCTGTGATAGTGGTTTAACACAATGACTCAAATCCTTCTAATAGACATTTACATTCAGGCTTCTTCCAGACGAAAAATTGTCAATCTTGGTCATAAGGCAAAAAAATAGGACAACAAAAAGAGGATCATGCTAAAAATAAATTGGCTCCCAGAAAGGCAAAAAACAGTCCAGGCTCTTACTTGATAAAATTACTTGTGGAAGAGTACATTCATCTTCCCCACTGACCTCAATCTGCCCCATGGACCCCAACCTTCCCACAATGAAGAGGGAAAACACATTAAAGTAACGTTTTAAAAATAGTTTGGAATAAATCATACCTCCGAGATTTGAGTTAAGTATTTAACCCTTAAGTTCTTTTAGAACTCATTTTGCTCACCCTGCCACGGGTCTGCTGAGTTATCTTGATTGCACATATGAAGGGCATCTAAAAAAGACCTTGTCACTCCAACACAAGGGTAACCATCACCGTTCATCTTTCCAATTGATTCCAAAGAGCAGTTTCCAAGTTAATTGGAGACCATATTTAAGAAATGTGCCAGCACCAAAATAAAGGGCAGACTGTTGAAGCCACAGAAGAAACTGAAGCTTAGGTTTAAAAAGCAAAAGAAAAAAGTAGTTGAAAAATTATGAAGGAAGCAAATGTAGGTGAAGAGACAAGAGAAACAAAGGAGAGCAGCAATTCTTTTAGTATTAGATGATGACAATTAGTATATGTTGACACATTAGTATATGTTAGCAAAACTTTCTCCATCAATCTTTGAAATTAAATCTTAAAAAAGGCCAGCCAAGGGAGCACACAACTCTCTGACAGTCTCAAAGGTTAGTTACATACAAACGATACACAGTGCCACAATGACCATTTCACAAGTATAAACCATGTTATTGAGACACACTCAGCACAGTATTAAGTCATGTAAAAAATGAGTGAAGTGTGTATTTTTCTTATATGAAAATGTGTCAGTTTTGCAATTATTTCTGGACTGTTAAATACACCATTTTAGTAATTTCCCGAAGGAGCAGATAACAAACGGTCTTCACACTTATTCTTCACACTTTTTGTGGGAGAGGGAACATCTGTACAGCACACCATCTTTTGCCCAAGAATAAATGGGGCCTGTTCCAAGGGATAGCAAATATGGCTCTTGCTTGGAAGTAAAAAAAGAACACAACAGTTGATGTGGTTTTTAAGTTTGCTGGGGAAGCAGGGGAAGAAACACCTCTATTGAGCAATGTGGGTTAGCTTTAATTGATAATTTTGGGAATTGCTAAGCAGTATTCTACACTTTGTGGTGTAACTCATTACAACCTAATGGAAGATCTGAAAATATGGCAGTAATTCTGTTGAGTTTTAGAATATATGATGCAATTGCTTCTTAAACAGTGTAATCGCTTACTGAGAATATACAGCTAGAGATGTTAAAATGAAACTTAAGCTTGAAATTTCAATGATTATGACACTTGCCAATGACTTCCAAACAGAGGTATCAAGCAATCCTTTGAATTGGCAAACAGACAATTTCTACAAGCTACAAAGTGTTTAAACACAGATATTGAAAAGCATGACAAGTTTTTAAAAAATGTAACGTGGTTAGCAACTGGAACACCATTAGCAGACAAATGAGACTTGCAATTATCTGAAGCAACTACTGCATTAGTGACATGCTAATTTTCTATTGCTTGACATTCAAATGGCCATGGTAAGCATGCAAATGCATGAAAGTGCTTATTCAAATGCACTAGTGTACAGATTTTGTATGGATTTAGTCTTCAGATTTTTATTCATTTGTTGCAAGTAACAGTGAAACTGTTTTTGGTCAGGAATATTTTATATTAAAACATAAAATACAGGTAGTGAAGCAGTTCCAATTAGTAAGAAGCTGAAGGAAATAATTATGAGATTAGATGTCATTATACACAAAAAAAGCGTTAAAACTGTTGATTTAGGGGATTTAAGAATTAAAGAAAATATTCAACCTCAATAGACGCATGATACCACCGTTATCCCACTTTGGGTACATCCAAGGACAGTATCACTGGTTGAAAAAAAAGTATGAGAAGTTTTTCAAAAACATTAAGTACAACAAAAAAGTTCTGAAAACTCAATATTTGTGAAAACATCTTGCTGCTCTAGTTTTTATATTCAGACTTGGCATCAACCGCATCTCAAAGTAGACTTCCACCTGAATAAAATAAAGTTATGAATTCAGGAATTGGGGACATGGTTGGATTGTACCTAGTGATTCTAAGGCTTTTACCTTTAAATTAGTTCTTGCATTTACCTGTTCCCAGCACTGCGGTAAAAGCTCGGCTTCAACACGGGTTGGTCCAACATGCCGAGCAAATGCTACACAGCCTGTTAAGATCATCTGTCTAAGATATATAAAAAAAGTAAATTATTTGGATATCATGGTCTCCATTGCTATAACATAAGATTTCCTGTTCCTTCCTCCTGTTTGCAGCCAGTCAACTGCTCAAACACCCCTCCTGGAAACCAAAGACATGGCACTGCACTTTCATACATAGGGACATTTCAATTGACTTGAGAGTGTCAAATGTCACTGACAAGCCAAAGGCCAAACAAGACCTGGACAATGATCAAGAAAGTTTCAATGTTTGGTATCTTTTTTAATAGTTCCCAGTGTGACTCTTTCCTTCCCTCTCTCCATGCCTTCCCTAAAAAGATATCTTAAGGAAATGGCGCTGAGAGAGTGCAACTTACTTTCTCGATAAAGTAAAATACTCTGTGATGAGCGTAAACTTTGTTTATTCCCCACATTTTCGAGTTTGCTAATTTGACAGTGACCAATGGTACACTTACTTGATGGTGTAACTTCCAGAACTTTTCATTATTGAGAGGATAATAGACTTTTATAGTAGATTAGTTTATGTAGCTTTCAGGGACATAAAAAAGCACTGCTGCTGTGAGAGACGAGATGTGGCATTTCAGGATTCCGTGATGAATGAAAATCACTATCCGCCCAGCAAAAAAGGGAAATAAATTGTGGAAAGCCCCTCACCTGTGTCTTTTCGACAATATTGCTCAACAGTTAAGTCAAAAATTGGCCAATTCAAAAGCCTTCAGGTTTCTGGACTGCTCCATGTCTCCCGCCCGACCCGCCCTACCTTCGGTGGCCGGGCTTTCTGCCTCTCTGCCTCCACACTCTGGAACTCCATCTCACAGTCCCTTTGCCTCGCTTCCTCCCTTACCTCCTTCAAGGCCGGTCTCAAGGCCCTCCTCTTCAATCGTGCCTTCGGTCCCACTCACACCTCTCTGCCTTCCCTCACCCCTACCCCACCCCTCCCCCATGCTCGGGTCCTGACCCGACTGTCCAGCACCTTGGAACGTCCTCCCGACGTGAAAGGCGCTCTATAAATGTAATTTTGGTGTTGTTGTTGAAGATGAGTATGTCATGGCATAGTATATAAGACATTTACTGTTTCAAATCCCCAAAGATTTTTGAAAAGGATTCAGTGGTACTAAGCAATTATTTACTCATGAAAATATTTTTAGAACAATAAAAAGTTAAAATAAATGTAGAAATATTGCAGTTATAACTATTTGTGTTAGATGGAGTCGACTGAATCTCACAGCAATTGGTAACTAATAACATCCTTTGAGTTCCAAAGCAGTTTGCAACTATATTCATGCAGTCTTGCATTCAATGAAGTGCTTCAGTGAAAGTAACAGATTAAATGTCTCAAAAGCAGTCAGCAACCATAAGTAATGATTTTACCTTTGTTCATCATCTGGTCGTTTAATTAAGTTGAAGAGAATGTGTAGAAGCTGATCTCTCTCCTTGGACTCCGGATGGAGACAAGCAGTGCACAAAATTAGCGGAATTAACTCCTGAAACCAGAAGAAAGCAAATTTATATGAACAAATGTAGTTATAAAAAAAGTAACACATCTTCAAAGTTCTTCATTCAATGATTATGCTATTGAGTTTTATCAAAGGTTTTAGTGCAGGATTTGTCAACAATACAAGGAGGATTTTGTTTGACAAAGGTAATGTCATTTGTAATGGTTCTAGGTTGATTGTAAAAATTTGGAAAACCTTACCCATACTTTCAGCAGCTAGAGATGAACTTTGGCTTCACAACCATTAAATACATCAAATAAACAATTAGATCTGAAAAAAGATATCCCTAATACAATTGATAATTTCTGCAATTCATATTTGTTATGAATCAGTAAACAAAACAAGCTTGTCTGGTATATATCATTTGTTTTACTAAATGCAACAAGGGCTATCCTCCTTCACTTGTTGAGGTGGTGGAGATGTAACTATACATCAATCATTATTTGATATTGATGCCATCTTCTGTTAAAAATCAGAATAGCAATTACAGAAGATTCTGGTGCTTCCAACATACATCCCTTCCCTTTCTCCTGGGTTTGCAAGACTATTTTAATCTCCATTGCTGTAAGGCAGCTCTGCTTACAAAAGGAAAATCTTTTATGAACTTTCAATTAAAATTGTTTATAGATCCAATGTAATCAAGTTTATTTTGTGTGTGTGGAGGGGGTCACATAAAGATACAGACAATGAAAAGGCCATTTGGTTCTTTTATAGACAATGTACAATACAATACAAAATTACATTTGTAAAGTGCCTTTCATGTCCGAAGGATGTCCCTCCCGTTGGGGGTGGGGGTTGGGATCAGGGAGGAGTGAGGGCAGAGAGGGTAGGAGGGTGGCCGAAGGTACGGTCGAAAAGGGGTGTCCTGAGGCATGCTTTGAAGAAGGCAAGGGAGGGGGCGAGGCAAAGGGAATGTGGGATGGAGTTCCAGAGGGGCAGAGAGGCTGAAGGCTCGACCACCGATGGTGGGGCAGGCCAGGCGGGGGACACTGAGCAGGCCACAGCCTGCTGAGTGGTGGGAGTGGACAGGTCGATAAGGGCTTAGCAGGTCGGAGAGGTGGGAGGATGTGATAACGTGCCCAAGCATGGATTTCTTTCCTCCTATTGAATCTCCTAAGACAATATGCTGCAAAATTACTGTTGTGCAAAATGTGAATGTGTGAAATGCAAAGTTACTTGTCCTATCCTTACATCTTGTTTCGCCCACAAAGTACAGTCAAACCACTTTACGATATATTCTGTGAAGTGCTTTGAGACATCTCGGCGCTATATCACATGCAAGAATTATTATTATCATCTCCACTACTGGAATGTGAATGTGCCAGGGTCCAAAATGGTTTCAACCTAATTTTGTTTTTATTAGATACTTGACTAAAGTGACATTAATTTACGCAATACTGAAAAACAACAAACTTTAAATCTGAACAAGATAACACTATTCTAACCAAGGACTAAACCTTATACAATTATAAGATGCAAGCAACTGAAAGGATGTAGGATACCGCAACAGGGATGGGCAGAAGAGATAAAGAAGATAGGATAATCATGTGATTGGTGTCACTGTCCTTTGATGTCAAAAAGACATCAATCACAATGGACAATAACTCTCATTCGGTTCCCCGATGTTCGAAAGGAGACTGCTGCTGCGTATGGAGGATGCGATATGGTGGATGTTTGTATTTTATACAAGAAATATTCCACGTTTCCTACCATGCTATTTCATGTCTCTTTATGTAACATAAATGGTACTTTATTAATTCCATTTCCAGAAGTGTGGCATTATCAATTATTTGTTATTCATGATACAAGAAACGATCTATGCAAAATTAGCGATTCTATCTATGTTCAAATATAGTGTACGGTTACTTAGGTAATACTGCCAACCTCAGAAGGGCTTCATTGTTTGAGTAGGAAGCATCCACCACACACTACTGAATAAGAGCCCAATTACCGTAATGAAATTGGAAAATTTGAACTGGAGAAAGGTTATGGGGGACATTGTGCAGAGGATGGAAAACTGACATTTTCCCTCGGCTGGGAAAACAAACCTCCATTCCAAGGTATGCGCTTTTCTTGATACGTTTAACTGCTGGGCCATGGGGTGGGAAAGAAAGAAAAAGGATGATTGATAAACAACAAGAGAAATCCCTTTAAGGGATTCAGATATTCTTTCTGCTCCAACACTATATCCAGTAGCTGAAACATTTGAAATCTTTTGGAAAATCACTGCAAATAACTTTCCACTGCAGTGAGATATTTCCTGAACAAGAACTTGCATTGGATCCTGAACAAGAGAGAAGAGGGAGGGAAGATGTTTACAGGGCTGGTCAAAGAGGTAGGTATTAATGGTGGGATTTAAAGATAAGATAAAAGGGGGAGGCCAAGGGATTGAGACAGGTTTTCTGGCTGAAGGCATGGCCACTGATGGTAGCGCAGAGGGACTGAGTGATATGCAGCGGGACTGTGTCAGCAGAATGAAGAGGGCTGAAAGGGGAGTGGCGAAGGAATGATTAAGTTCAGTTGCTAACTTGAAACCTGGGGATTTAAGTAACCAATTTAAACAAACGAGGCATTACAATATTTTATTTCCCCCAAATGTTACCCTTTTTTCCTCCTTTGCATTCTTGGAGGCAGTCATTCACACTGGGTTATATTTCCACGAGCACAAGCAACCATCCAGTACTTCATCCAAGCAGCATTATTAATGTACAAATTGTAATATTATGGCTCAGGGCTTTGGTGACATCATCCGCAGACATGGGGGAAACTTCCTTTACCTACCTAACTCTACCTCTCTGCCTCCACCCTTGACTCCAGGACCACTGCTGTCCTGACAGACTGTCTGTCAGACATCAAGTCCTGGATGAGAACTAACTTTCTTCAGTTGAACATCAACAAGACCGAGGCTCTCCTGATTGACTCCCGTCAGTGCCTCCACACCTCAGACACTGACAGCATCACCATCCATGGATGCACACTTCACCTCACTGAGCCAGTCCATAATCTTGGCGTCTTGCTTGACCCTCAACTGTCTTTCTATCCCACATCCATGACATGACCTGCTCGGCCTTCCCTCACTTCCCAGCTCCACACATTTATTATATCTAGGCTCCACTATTCCAACACTCTACTTGTCAGCCTTCACAACTCCTCCCTCCACAAGCTGCAGATCATGCAGAACTCTGCAGCTCATGTCCTCTCCCGCACCAGGCTTCGTGACCCTATCAGCCACACCCTCGCCCGGCTCCACTGGCTCCCCATCCCTCAGAGAATAGAATTCAAAATCCTCGTCCTCTCCTTCAAAGCCCTCCATGGCCTTGCCCCTTTCTACCTCTGTGACCTGCTAACCCCATTCAACCTGACCGCTCCCTCCGTTCAGCAGGCTCAGGCCTGCTCCATGTCCCCTGCCCAGCAATCAGGTCTTCAGCCTCTCTATCCCACCCTTTGGAACTCCATCCCATAGTCCCTTCGCCACATGTGCCTTGGTTGTCTCAACACAACCTTAATAGTGTAAAGTCTGTTGTCCAACACAGTTGAAATAAATCCTAAAAATGCGAAAAGCTCCTCTTAGGCATTTTTCACAATAGCATTAAGAAGCACTACACTGTATTCACATGGAGAAGAAAGTGTAATGATGAACATGTTCCCATAAGAAAACACTAGTGCTTGACAAACGTAGCACCCGTTTTCAAGTGTTATGGCTCCATTTCTGTCAACAGTTTGTACCAAAGAACAGTCTTACCGTTATGCATTCAAAGCTGGCATGTAGGAAATTTATTTTATCCACCTTTCATTGTCAACATTAGTAATTCACACAGTTTAGTTTAGAGTTAATAAGCTAGGAAGGCACGACTAGAAATTGCAGAAGAGATTCAATACTAAAGGTAAGTTTATCTACAAACTAAAACACAACGCTTAGTTGAATGAGTATATGCTAGCCTTTTCAAACAATATGGTAATATAAATGAAGTAGTTAGCTTTAAGTTTTTAAACAGACAGAAACTGCAGCAAAACAAAAACAGCAATGAAGAAAGCCTTTTGGATACCTTGAGGTGTGTCCAAACTCACCTGACAGAGATGCACAACCATTCTCTAGGATCAGAGATGCATGCACAAAAGTAAGAATATGATTGCAAGTAACAAATACAGACTTTCAGCAGAGAACAAAGGCAAACTCACAGATGAAATTGTAAAACAATATAGAAATAAAAAGAGTGCGCTGGAAATTTGTATAATGTTTCAGCAGATAGTTCCTTTTCTCTTACTTCTCGCTTTGCCAGCAGCACGTTTGGTACTATGTGTGGTAAGCACCGACCCAACATCAGCATCACGCTTTTTTCACTGTCAGCAATTCGAGAAACCTAAAGAAATGGATGAGGTCTGAGTTTATATTTACAATCCTGCTGATTACATCTATAATTGTCAAATCATATGAAATTCAACAGAATTTATATCGCTACACGCATAAACCACCTAAAGGGCAGTCAATGAATAATGGACTGAATATTCTGTATATAACTTGGGAGGTGAAGCTACAGTTGAGCTCCATTTTGATGCACTGAGTCTAATAGTGTGCCGACAATCACTTTGACAGCTTATATATGGATAATTGCTATCCACACACAAATATTGTCTATTTTCTTGGGGGAGGTAAGTGGGGCTGATCTGGCTCCAAAATGACATCTATGTCAATTATCCGTGTCAATCTCAGTGGTCTGTTCTGTTGTACCACTTGTTGATGAAAGACCTGCTAGCTTAGCTTGTTCATAGGACTTGGTTAACTGTGCAAGCTAAAACTAAAGGTTGGGTAGTCGTAGCTGGTCAAACAGGAAGCTATCTGGTGTTCACAATGGCAAGCAGTGCGATTTTGGCTGCTTAAACTCCAGCAGTCCCCTAACAGACAATTTGGTCACGACTCTTGCCAACCTGTACCTGTAATATCCAGGAGTAAGTGATTAGGGTGCATCCCTTCTGGGGAGAGAGTGCGCACACCCACAAAGTGAAGTCATGTGGAACTCAATTTGGTTTGCAGACTTAAACATAATGATGGATTTTTAAGTTTTTTGTTTGACCAATAAGTAAATAAATAAATACAGGTGATCTTCATTATAGGTTCAGCTGGGTACAATGTGGAGCAAATTAAAACTTTTTTTTCCAGCAATTACAACAACAACTTGCAATTATATAAGTGCCCCCCATGCAGGGTAGTGTCTCAGAGCCATTTAACATTCTGGCAATTTTGCATTTTATCCAATTAGTGAATAAAATAACCTCAAAAGACTCTCTCATGTGGTGCCCTATCAACAGTCTTCTGGAAGTTGCGTATAGCACATTCTTATCTACGTTATCTGTTATTTCTTCAAAGAATTCTATTTTGTGTTGTCAAGATGCTTGATTTCATCTCATCAACCAAGGATTAACTCTTATTAGCATTTAAAAGTTTTTTTGTCCTCATAAAAAAGCTGGTGCTAGTCTCTCAACAGAAACAGACTGTTAAACGGGAAGGGTTTGAAATTGATAACAGGAGAAGTAACTGGCAGGTCTCTTTGTGCAATTTACCTTAATGGTTAACAAATATTACATATGAACCAGAAATATGAAGACTGTTTAGAGCCATTTTGAGAATCTCTAAATCAATATCAACTCAGATATTTGAAGGATCTCCATAAGCCAGGGATCTCCAAACAGTTGATTACTGCAAGGTGTTGTTCCACACATGCTCAAGAACAACATTTATGGCAGTTTTAACAGTAAATTTTATATTTCCAGATGCATGAAATACTTTGTGCATCTGGCTTCATTTTCAATTTGACTCAATAACAAAGTAGTTCTATCACTCCTTCCTCGTCTTTTGGATCATGCGCGAAAGTGCATCTAGCAGTGATCGACGAGTTGGGACCCCTGCTCAAAGCCATTTAACATTCTGTTAACAATTTTGTATTTTTTTGGTATCCAAAAAGGTGGTGGTTGTAATGGTATACCGATTGCTCTTATATCTGGATCATTGTTAGTTTACTTGTCCAGGAAAGAACCAACATTTTCTTACACATGCTTGCCCTCTGTGAAACCAAATACAAAAAAAAAGTCAAGGTCCACCTCAATCGGTCATTGAAGGCCCGCTAACGTTGCTTCCACTGCAAAGCGACATCAGGAGACCCTTACTATGAGTGAGGAAGTACTCTATCGAAGAAGTCCATAAAGTATGTGTAGGGGAGGTCTAACGTAAATAAATAGCCACTTAGATGAGGTACTAGAGAACACATTTTGACCGTCAAACTTCAACATCTATCACAACTTCTTTCTAACTTCTTACAGAATGCATCAAATGACAATGAATAACTTGTATTTATATTCATCACATTCTAACAAAATTAATCAGTTATTACCTCTGATCCTAAGCGACTGTCTGCTGCCATACGACAGAAAGATAGCAATGCTTGATGAAATGCAGGAGACAACTTCCTGTGGAAAAAAAGCATAGGGACCAGGAATAAAAGTGAACTGTTAGTTCACAGAAGGCACTAATTTCCATATTACATCACCGGTCAATGAACTTAGTAAATAAAAGAAAATCTTAGTGAAGGAACGGATGATTGATTGCTGGTCTCAAGAGTTTCAATGCTGATAAATCATTATTGATGCAGAGTCCACAAATTATTTTAAAAGGGAATTGGATGTATGCATGAAAAAGATAAATATTCTATTAAATATTAAAGACAGTGGGGAGAAAGCAAAAGAGTAGGATTGGCTATCTTGAGGACACCAGTACACACTTTGATGGGTTGAATGGCAATAGATAATCATTTTATCTATCTATCTTTTAATTAATTGTTGATTAAAATATGCAAGATTCTATTTCAATTATTTGATGATACTAGCATTATCAAGGCACTGAAAGACCTGAAGCTTGGTCTATTTGTATGATGTGCATTTGATGTTCTGCTTGATCCTCAGCTAAGCTTCAAACATTTCACTGCTTCTCAAACTCTCATTTGTGCCTAAGCCATCTTGAGGCTAAATTATTCCAATGGTCTTCTCTCTGTCTTCTCTCCAGCCTCTATTGCTCACCTCATAGGTTCTATCTGATCTAAAACTCTGCACCTTAAATTCTCTGCCACAAGGTTGTCCAACCTTTTGGCTGCTGAGAGCCGGATGGCCTATTTGAGAAACGGCCATGGGTTGCATAAGCAATATTTTTTGCATTTCCCTTCCAGAAACATAACATATACGGGATATGGAGGGAGCAGGTGGGCCAGATGAAATGGAGGGAGGGCCGGATAAAATCGGCCCACAGGCTGGATGCGGCCCATGGGCCACCAGTTGGACCACCTTGCTCTACCACATTCGGTTCCTCATACTGATTACTCCCATTTTAGCCAACTCTAGTGGCTCCCAGTATTACAGTGGTGGACATTTTAATATTTTTATTCTGACTTTCAAATTCACCCATGTCATTTCTTCAAGGCATATTATCCTGCCCATACCCTCCATTTGTCCAATTCCGTGTTATCCACTTACATAACAAGATTCTGTAAGTGCATGTAGAAACTAGTAGTTGATAGACATTAGATACATAGTTCTCGGGAATACCTAGGCAAATGAAAGAATTATTCTTATTTTGCCTAGGAATTTTGTCCTGGCCACCACTTTTATATCGGGAGCATGTCTCACACAGGATCCATTGCAAAGTTGTACAACTGTATCTTTGTGGATAAACATGGCAGACAAATACAGTTTTCAGAAATACAGAAGCATTCTGGCACAAGGAACTTAAAACTCATGTCTTAAAGTTCTTATTAATAACACTCTTATGGTGGTTTGAAAAGTTCTTTGGTGGAATAATATTTTAAAAATGTTGACCTGCATTTAGAAATAAAGAATGGCTTAACAAATTAATCTGGCTCTTTTTATATATTAAAAAAAAATTAGAAATGCTTAAATATTCAGTTCACATATTCCAAAAGTGCACAGTATATTAGTTCTGTCCTTGGAGCATGCATAAAACAACTAACCTGTTTGGTTTACTGAACAGTACTGGTTCACTACCTAATTGAGAACAAATGGGTGGCTGTTGTGTTTGCTCCTTGTAGTGTGAAGTTAGTGTTGTGACTTGTATAGGAGGAACAACAGGACTGCAAGAACCAGTTTCAGTGTCTCTTGGGGAAGAAGTGGAGGTCCGCTCTCTCTCTACCTCCCAACTATTACTTTCAAAGCTTCGGATGTCGAAATACTCCCCACTGTCCACCGGTCTAATGTGAGGCACTTGTTCTATCATATTTGTTGGAGGTTTCATGCTGTCAGAGGTAACCGGAGCAGCAAAGTTCTGATGCTTGAGTACTTCTATTTCACTGTTAAAATAAAAAGTCACAATTAAGTACATAATAACAACAGATTGCACTGAGTTTAATATTGTTTACAATATTAGTTATAATCAGGAGTCTTGTAGCTCAGTGGTTAGAGCTCGCCTCGCAAGCGAGAGACCTGGGTTTGACTCCTGGCAGGATTCCTTGGGCAAGATTCCTTACTCCACATGCCTGACAATAATCACTCAAGAACCAAAATAAAATAATAATTTTAATAAAAGCTTTTGGGTGACTGAACTAAAGAGCTTTTGTCCTGTCAAACAACCTATGAAGGTCTAGGGGGGTCAGTTTGTGGCACTGCCCAGACAAGTCATAAGGAAAAATAGGATCATTAAAGGGGGCACGGCTGTATCAGCCAAATTACACTAGGGCTGGAAGGTCACCTGTAACAAAACATCAGGCAAAACAATTACATTACCCACTTGGAGATGGAAAGTCTGTGAACTGCTGAAGAAAAGTGCCAACGGAGGAAAACCACCAAAGACAAACGATCTGAAGAGACAACTCCAAAGGAACCAGGTAGAGGGCAAATGACAAATTGTTTGACCACGCCAATAGAAAGGAGAGGGCTGAGCCACTTTGGGACACCTAACAAAGGTTGTATCTCCTAATGCACAGCTTCGCAAGATGGTTGGGTGCAAAACTTTTACGTTTCTTTACCTGTACTCTGTAACTCAACAATTAAAAACACCCTGACTTGAAGATTGGGTCCAGCTAAATACTGTGATATTGCATCTGTAATGAAACCACTGTCTGTCAAATTTTCTACCCAGATTTTTAATAATTAAAATCATTTTCTTTAGCTTGCCACTGTTTAGAGCCACTTTCGGCATCACTAAATTAACGTAAACCTCTAGACATTCAATGATCTCCCTAAACCATTTGACAACATTCTTGGGATTTGACACACACGCCAGTGTTATACATTCTCATTTATAAATTCAGCACATCAGAAAAGGATACCAACACATTAACTAGATTTTAATTTCAAACAGCGATGGCAGGGATTAAGAAAAACGATTTTTAACCAAGTAGACCTAGTCGACTGATTTCAGTTTGTTTTTCATCAATATCACATACCTCTCGAGCTGCTCAATCTGCGCTGCAAGCGATCTTTTCTCATTGTTTAAGATGCTAAGTTGTTCTTGGAGCTCATGCACGATCCCAATCTGTTACAAGAAAATTGTACACAGATAAGGAGAAAAAACTGCAGATTTTTGCATCCTCACAGCTGGGCAAAATTGCAATATTATATTAATTAAACATAGTTTTTCTTAAATCCTTGCATCTGATATACGACCTTATCAAGTCATTAAGACATCTCAAAGCACTTTCAAGTTATTTTAATATATCCCTATGAAATTGAATGAAATTCCCACCTATGGAAGAAATTAATGAGTAGCCAAGTCAATTTGTCTAGTTTGCTTGTGTATAAATTTTATCTAATAAGTCTGATAAAAGTCACGTTATCTTCTCTTGTCAAATTATTCAGAACCTCTCTCTAGAAGGAGTGTCAAAAAGACACTTTTTACATGATGGAATATTATTTACACATTATTAAAGTTGTAGGAAAAATACCATTTCCAAAGATCAGATATGGACTAAAGCATTCTACCTGAGAATAATACTGGTGATATTGGGTACTCGGTGCTTGAAAGTACTTTCTTGCATTTCATTCTTGCTGCCATTGTCAAGTTGGATTGACACTGAAGTCAAAAACAATGCGACCAAGGTCACCAATATTAGTCAGCAATGATCAGAATCACAGCCTTTCAACAACTTGCATTTATGTAGCACCCTTCACTGAGGGTAACACCTTGGAGTGCTTGATAGTATTGATAGGACCCGGAGCCATGTTACACATCTTTGGGAGCTGAAGGCTCGTCATGAATGTGACTAATTGAGATCTAGCTTATGAAAACAACAGGATTTGTTTCCTGGGAATGTCTGTCTAAAGCAGGAGTGGAAAATGTGCTTTTGTGACAAAACAGAAACTTTAGGTCCCTTTGGTTCTGAAGTAATTAAGTCAGGCGAGGCTTGTGTTGGGTTTTGAGCAAGCTCCATGCTTTAAGAAAAGTTGGACAAACAAAGAAAACCATTTCATATTGCTGGAAGGAAACCACAACATTCATTACAGATGAAACATCAGCCTGACTCAGTGGAAGCACCCTTGCCTATGATTCAGAGGATTGTGGGTTCGAGCCCCATGTCACGACTTGAAATCACATAAATCTAAGGTGACACTCCAATGCAGTGCTGGGAGTGCGTTACAATGTTGGAGGTCCTGCGGATGAGACATTCAACTAAGGTCCTGTCTCGGTAGTTCAATTGGACATTTTTTTTTAAAAAGGGATGATTACCCCTGGAATACGATCTGCCAATCAATTAATAAGCGAGTTCCCACTTACTGCTAGGTAAACAGCTGTGTGAAGTAAGGAAACTTGTCTAAGGTTTCTCCTTGCCCGGGATTTGAACCTGGGTTTTCTCGCTTGTGAGGCGAATGCTCCAACCACGACGCTATAGGACTCCACATCCTGTAGCATAGTGGTTAGAGCACAGGATAGTATATCATGTGAAGTACTTTGAAATGTGTCGACAACGTGATAAGGTGCCATATCAAATGCGATTATTATCATCAATTATGAAATCATCCGCGGGTTGCAGGATAGTCTGGGACTGAAGTAAATAAATGGGGCAGCCAATTGTGCATAACAGTGTTCCACAAACAGTCATGGATTGAGTGACCAGATTTGTTTTTGAGTGATTATTATCTCCGGAAAGCGATCCGCCAAACGACTAACAATTGAGTTCCTACTTACTGCTAAGTAAACAGGTGTGTGAAGTGAGGTAACTTGCCTAAGGAAAATGATAAATGGACATCTTATTTTTTTTAAAGCAGGAGATAAAACTCATGATCGTTGTGTTGTTAAAACCACGAAGACCAGAAGGGCCACAGGAGTGTTATGTGATCTGAGGAGTAACAGGAAGAGCACTGCAGCTGATCTCATGACCTGTTAGCAATCCTGTGAACTTCCATTCCAAATGTGGATATTGAGCAAGGACAGGATCAGCTTTTTGATATTGAATAGATATCTGATAGTAACTGGGGGCACAGATGAAGAACTAGCATTTAAACAAAGTTAAGGAAGGCAACAGAGCAGTCAATTCCTATGGAATTGTACTCCAGCATCAGTCAGTATCTTCAAGAAAGGTAGAGAGAAGTTTGGAGGTGGATTAACTACAGAGCTACAAATAGCTCCATTAATTGATGTATCTGTTTTCATGGGATTCAGTGTCTTATTACAGAGGAGCACCTTCAGGGAACTAAGAGTTTCCCATTATATTTCCAATTATAAAATTACAATTCTGGTGATCTTCAGACCATCACTCAATCACCTGACCCTAGTTATGTTTGAGACAGTACTGATACTGATTTTGAACTCTGCTTGAACATCACACGCATTCAATTAGCTGGATGGTCAGAAGCCAGATTTTAGAGTGAACTAAATTGCTCAATCAGTATATCTCTTTTTCTCTCTATTCGGCTACTCGTGAACACTCAGTATGTGCACCTAAGGTAGTTTGTATTTTTCTAACTGTTTATAGACACGTTGCTACAGGCAGTTTATTAAACAATCTGAACACAAGTATAAGATAGCGACGAGGGGATCTAAAAGAGAATTTAGTGGGAATTGTTTCATGCAGAGCATAGTGAAATTGTGGAACTCACTGTTCCAAGTGGTGATTGAATCAAACAGTATAGATGTATTCAAAAAGAAGCTTGACCTTCAAATGCGAGAAAGGGGAATAGAAGGGTATGAGAGCGATTAAGGGATGGGTGGAGATTCACGTGGAGTATAAACAACGGAATAAACAAGTTGGCCCCAATGGCCTGTTTCCGTGCTGCACAGTCATGTAAATCTTTGAATATGTGCAACAACTTGGTATTGTACTTAAAATTCACAAGCAACAACAACAACAAGATTTCATTTATAGAGCGTCTTTCACGTGGGAGGACGTTCCAAGGCGCTGGACAATTGGGTCAGGACCCGAGCGTCGGGGGGGGGGAAATGGTCAGGGTGAGGGGAGGGAAGGGAGGGAGCGAGGAGGGGGTAGAGAGTTGAGAGGGGAGCTGAAGACACGGTCAGAGAGTAAGGTCTTGAGACCGGCCTTGAAGGAGGAAAGGGAGGAGGCGGCGAAGGCACTGGGGGATGGAATTCCAGAGCTTAGGGGCTGAGAGGCTAAAGGCCCGGCCACCGATGGTAGGGCGGTTGGGGCGGGGGGTGTGGAGCAGACCGGAGCCGGAGGAACGGAGGGTACGGGCAGGTAGGTAGGGGGATAGTAGGTCGGAGAGGTAGGAGGGAGCAAGGCCGTGAATGGCCTTGTAGGTGAGGATGAGGATCTTGAATTTGATCCTCTGGGGGATGGGGAGCCAGTGGAGGCAAGAGAGGGTGGGAGTGATGTGGTCGCGAAGCCTGGTGCGGGACAGTACACGAGCTGCAGAGCAAGCAACACAAAATAAATATTTATGGAAGCCTGATGTGATTTTTTTTAAACCATCATGATATTCAGATGCAAACAGAGGCAGAATTTCCAATCCTCCAAATCACTTAAAAGTCCATCACTAATTATGCTGGCTGAGTTTCAATGAAACTGTGCCACAGATTCACCAATCTGAATTGACAATCCAAGTATAAATGAGGTTCAAGTGAATAAACATCAGTGAAAGGTTTATGAGGAAAAATTTAAAAACATATGTAAGTTGAAGTGAACAGATGGCCATCAAATGTACACCCACACAAAACAAAGAATGGAGGTATGAAAAGGAAAGAACGTGTGCTGTCTTCACAGATGGCAGCATGTACAACATGACAATATGTGTCTCACTGCATGAGCAAGTTTTAAAATAATATCTTTTGAACATTGTTTCACGATTAATTAAAGTGAGTTTACCTGATGTCCACAGTAAGCAGCCTGTAAACCTTTCTAATGGAGAAATGAAGCTGTGTGATAAGGAACTGCATACTAAGGAATTCTCACTTTTTTAAAAAATTGCCTTATAAGTTCCTCCATACCATGATTCATTCTCTTGTTAATAAAGTAAACAGGTGGTCAAGTCCCATCAATGCCACTGTTTCTGAGCATTCATTGGACAAAAGGAATATAGACTGACTCTTGCTCTCGTTTTTCAGTCTGTGAGGAAATGCTTTGCCTTCAGTTAACAGCTCAATCTCTCAGTGCGTTTTGCAGAAGTTAATATGCTTTTCTGAACCCTTGGACTCATATGGGATAGTTACTTGGGCAGAGCAACACTCCAACACATTTTCCATTGGGAATCACATTACATCCAATACCAGTGAATGCAGGAAGGATATTTGTAGGGAGCATCAAAACTGACCTCAGCAGCTGTTCATGTTCACTTTCCACCAGAGATGGTGAATGATTAGCAGCAGGAGATGCTGGCCAATTGCAGTACTGGCACTCTCTTCCTGGCTGTGACTAAATAACATTGCTCAGATCAAAGACTGACTTCCTCGTCTTCCCAAGGAAGACCATTTCAGGCCATTTATCCAGACAATATAATGAATGTTCAAAAGCATCATTCCAATGGAAGAAAATATAAAAGCCAACAAGCAAATGTTATAAACTAAAGGTGAAGCACTATAATTAGTTCATTAAGGTGTCATTCTGGCTCAGTTGGTAAAACTGTCATCTCTGAGTCAGAAGATTGTGGGTTCAAACATTAAGTTGGGACTTTGAACTCATCGTCTAACGTCATTTCAACGTTATGCTGGGGTAACGCTGCATTGTTGGAAGTACTGAACTTCAGATATTAAAACTGAGGTACAGTTCGCTCGTTCAGGTGGACGTTAAAGATCTTGTGGCACAATTAAAAAAGAATAGGAGTTTCTCTCAGTGTTCTGGCCAACAATGCACAAAATAAAATTAGTTACTCACTTCATGATTGTCTGTAGGATATTACTGTGTACAATTTGGCTGCCATGTTCGTCTACAAATGCATTGTCAACACATTTTGGGAGTAAAATCCTGAGACATTGGACAACGGATAAAGTGCTACAACAAATGCAAGTATTATTATTATTGCCTTTTGATCGATACATTCAAACTAAATTTCTCCAGGTACAGGGCAGCATCTCTGCCGATTTATGTTGTCAACAATTGGCATTTACAAATATAAACATTTAAATCTATGGTGTGCACGACATAAAACATCCTCAACAAGTAAACCGTCTTTCAAAATGTATTCACTGCACTTGTTAATTTGGCTTTACATTCCCCTCATTCCTCACTCCATACCTCTTGTAACTGTGGTTGCTGCATTAATTCTTTGGCATCACGGTGAGTATCCAGTTCATCTGGCTCCACTTCAACAGCCACATCCACCATTCTTTTGTTCAAAGTTATGTGACTTCCGCACTCCCGATACAGCTGTAGCAAATCTGGTGGTTTAGGGATGTTCAATCCAACATCATCCCACAATTCAAAATCCTAAACAGCAAAAATAAATCCAGTTGAACAATTATTCGAAATTACGTTTGTCTAAAGGTTATGCTTCATTCACTTCCACAAATATATCCAGTCTACAAAAGCAGCCCAGTTTAAAATGTCTCACATTTATGTAGTTGCTAGACTGATTTCAAAGATGCTACTGGAATTTAAATATACGTTTCAAATCATTGTGGTTTATATTTCCCGGCAAGGCAAAACTTTGGGCAAGTTTCCTTACTCCACACGCCTGATAATAGTCCCTCAAGAAAAAAAACCAATAATAAATTGGTCACTTCAATCCACGACTGTTTGTGGGACACTACTGTGCACAATTGGCTGCTGTGTTTCATCCACAATTATAGTCAATTCACTTTAGTCTATTTTGTGAAGCGCTTTGAGACATCTAGAAGACATGAAAAGCACTATATCAAATGCAAGGATTATTATTATTATAATTTATTTACAAACAATTAATAGGAATATTATGAGCTATTTTTCAAAAGCATTGTGCATTGGCACAATTCAAGGGCTGCCTAAAAGTTGCTGCACGGTGCCATTAAGATATATGCTTTATGTTCCATAGCAGTAGTTTTCAATTAATATAAGACAAGTGTACAGTATACAGTATAGCCAGAGGTTCTTTCATTGGCTCAGCACATATATTCAGAGTGGGTATGCCATAAAAAAGGAAAGTAGTAAAGTCTCAATTTCTGCTATCAGCTAAGGAGTTACTGGACACCCTATAACCGGAGGGAGAAAAAGTGGAAGAATAAAACCCGCTCAATAAAAGCAACCTAGAATTACAACCACTTGCATTTGTATTGCGCCCCTCATAAATAGTGTCCCAGATTGATTATTGAGGAGGTTAGAAATCATGCATTTTTGCATTTTACTTTCCTCTAGTCGACTTACCCCTTTGCAGGATACTCAAAATAAAAGATTGTTTAAAAATAACTAGGATCAAATGAAAGAACTAAGGTAACCATAGATCTAATTAACTTTACTGAATATTAATATTAATTTAACACTCAATTGCTGGTTACAGTAAGTTGTAGACTATTACCTGGTCATCATTTTCATCTGAAAAAGTTATTGAGGTGAGCTTATAATTAATCTTCAATAAATATTCATTCACTAGGAAATTTAGTGCTCTTTTTTCCAGAGGTTTAATAGGTTCCTGTTAAAATAAAAAAAAGACAAGTTGAGTTTACATGTAAGCAAAACATGCATAAATTCAATGAACAGAACAAAACAATAGAGGATATATTATAAGTGACCAGTTTAGAATATTAGAAATCCTATGCCTGATTGGAATGAATGAGATTTTGCTTATGCATTTTTCTAATATATATATCAAATATGTTTTTAATAATGTTCATTGGTGCAAACGGGGATGAATAAAGGAGAAAGGTTATACCAGACAAACATTTAGTTATAAAACAAATGGATTCTGGCATCCAAATCAGTGTGTGTTCTACGATTCACACCACCAATTATGGATTTGGTCTAAGTCATTGGGTATCAATATTTATTTGCCGAAGTTGGAATCAAACATTCTGATGACAATCATTTTGAGATTAATTACTGGACAATAAAAATAAGGTTTTAGGCATCCAGGAGTGACATTGTATGTTGACTCAGAGACTACACTAGTCTTTCTTTGTCTGTGGTATTGGTTTGGGAAACATATAGAGGGTGTATGACCTTTCGTTAATTTGAAGGGAATTGAAGGCTGTAAGACAGTAGGACTCAAGATGGGATGGCTGTGAATCAGATACCAGAGAGAAATGTATGCACACTGAATTTTGCATAAGGGAAAATTGTTAAGAGTTGCAATGTTAATGTTTTATTTATGAGAGGTGGTGGAGTGTTAATGCCGTGTTTTGGGGGATTATCACTGGTGTTGGGGATATAAGTACCAGTCACACAAACACACCAAAAAAAAACCCACCTGCACAAGGAGACCAGGTGTCCAAAACAAAATTTAAATTCAGTGGATTCAGAAACAAAATAATATGCAACATTGTCAATATTTTGCGGGCAAACAAACCAATATTCTTCTTCCCTTCTGATTAAATGATACGGTAACTATATACAATTTCTTCGTAATAAAAATAGAAGCATAATCGAACAGTCAAGTCATTCAAGAAGATTTATTTTCCCACACTGAAATACGTAGCTTCTCAATAAATTTTTTATTTGTTTTACAGTTCTAACTTCTTACCTGAATTTCAGGACTGTATTTATAATTCTTTCGTTCCTGTAAAGGAACATCACTTTCTGTAAACGCTGCAAAAGCAAAAATAAATTTACAGCCCTGTTAAATTGTTTGATTTGTTTATGCATTATCAAAGTAGAAAGAGAAGAAAGTATAATGTACACCACCTGCAGCTTGTGTCAGGTTGGCACGAAGGGACTGAATGGTCTCCTTGGCTTTCCGCAGTTCAAACTCCAGGACTGGACAGGGATTGGATTAAACACACACAGGAATCCAACCAAGAAAAGGGGAAAAAATAAAAAGGATGGGTGTGAAAATAAAAGAAAAAACAGTTTTGAAAAACAGAATGCATGCAGTTTATGGAATTTGTGAATTCATGCAGCAGTTTGTTTAAAAGCAGATTGTGAGATTTTTTCCATACTTTTTATCTCAAACAAATATTTGACTTAACATCTTAGTACTGGTTTCAATACAATCCACTGAAAGCTTTAATTACCATAGTAACTGTATTCAATCCCATTTGCAGCATTTTGTTAAAAACCTGCCAAATATTCTTTCATGACAAACTTATTTAACCCAATTTTTTTTCAATTGTCAATAGATTTTAAAGACTTGTAATCAGCAGATATACTTTGACGATTCAAATGATTAACAAAAACACTGATTTGGGGTAGGGAGGGAGCTCATTAAATTCACCATTAACCAAATATGACCTAAAGAAATGACATCAAATCAAATAATGGAAAAATGCATTGAGTCCCCCTTTCCTTTCAACTTCCAACAAAAACAGATATATAAATGACTATACAATATGTATACTTATCACAGTGTACTAGATATTAGCATTGAGACAAAGAGTCTTTTCATTAATCCAAAATTGTAGAACTTAAGGACGCAGCGTTTATGCTACATTGTGCACTTACATTTGAACATGAACATTAAAATATAGGTTCCATTCTTATATTAAACAAACTCCCAAGACTCTACAACATACTGTAATAGCATAGGTATGTATCATTTTCAAAACTTAGTTCAGTTTCTATATTGTTTTCAAATACCAAACACCCCCAAACTTTCAAACTAAGAATACTATTTACACAAAACCAGCAATCAAGTTTTCATCGATTGGACTATTGTGTGGACGAAGCTGTTGAATGCAACCGTTTCAAGCAGGTAGGTGGAACTGACATTTCATTGACTCAATGGCCACTCCTCAAGAATCTCTGGATTTCTGATAAGCCATCTGCTACACTTAGCTTCCTCTGTTTTTCCAATATTCTTATTTGTTGTGCGGGATTAATGTCACGACTGAAGAAATCAGTAATGCAAGCATGACTCCGAGCTGGGGGGAGGGGAAGATGACCCTAGGCCCGGTCAAACAAGAAGGATTTCAGGCGTGAACTGAAAATGGGGAAGAAAGGGGCAAGGCGGAGGGATAGAGGAAGGGTGTTCCAGAGTTTCGGTGCGTAGTGGCTGAAAGCCAGAGCTTGCAAAGGTTGCTTTAGCTGGTTAAACCCCTCGGTACACCGACACACACTCTGGGATTCCCAAATCTTGACTTTCACCAACTTCACTTAATACTCTCAGGAATTAAGTAAGCAGGATATATCCCCCAGGGAAACAGTACTCATTCCATTCCAGACAGGAGAATTTCCATGTTTAAGTGGTATTCATAATAATATAATAATAATCCTTGCATTTGATATAGCGCTTTTTATGTCTCCTCGACGTCTCAAAGCGCTTCACAGAATATGCTGTAAAGTGAATTGACTGCATATTTGTGGGCGAAACACGGCAGCCAATTGCGCACAGCAGTGTCCCACACTGGATTGAAAATTAGCAATTTATTATTGTGGAACTCTGTTGGATTTGGACACTCTTTAAGTACAGTGATGGATTTCCCCACTGATCAAAACAACAGAAAGTACTATTTTGCCAAGGCAATGCTTGCCTTCATCTCACGTGATTCATTGTGTTACCAAGTCTGCCATGAGACACAGGAATGCACAGCTGTGATCAGGAGGTTATTTTCATAGTTCTAGTTTTAATTTTCAATCCCCTGTCATTTTTTTCTTCCTTCCTGAGATGTTTGACTTATTTTTTCTTCCACTGGGTACAGTTTTACAGGTACCCTCTTACCCAATCGAACTTTCAAATAATAATCTTAATGATGAGTTCTGTCAGCAATGTACAAATTCAGTGGTGTGCACAAATTTGCACTTTGCAGTTGGGGTCGATGGATAGCAAGCAGGAGGGGGACCTCCCACATACAGGGCAGCTGAAATAAGCACAACACAGGGATCAAATCAGATACCTGCTCTCTACATCCACTTACCTGCTTGAAACTGTTTATCTAATGTCGTTTTTTAATACAAGCTTAAACTAAAATAAAGGCAATAACATTTTCTTTGAGTGTCAATGAAATGTCACTGCCACACGCCTGTTTGAAACTGTTGAATAACTGTCTTACAAGCTTAAAATAAAGGCAATAAAATTCCATTCAAGTCTACTGACATCAGAATTCTTCTTGTGTTCAAATAAGATGAAACTTTAAAATTCAAAGGATGCGTAATTCAGTAACTGATGGAGCACTGGAAACTCAATCATAAGGTCTGAAGTGTGAAACCCATATTGCTTTTCACTCCATGTTATTTGTTTCTACTCTGATGTGTATCAAAATAGAGTGCTCAACTTCATATTTACAGTCAATAAACATTAGCATTGATGGCAGACGTGGAGAAATATGTCCTCCTGTCTGGCAGCAAAGCAATGTATAGTGGTGAGCCACCTGCAAACATACTAGAACAGAAAGCTAGGTAACAAAGCACGAAAGGAAATCACAATTAGTTTCCAAAATATTCTGTAGAGGCAACAAAAGTTAAACACATGCACAAGAAAAGACCTTCAAGCAGCAAAATTATTTTGCTTTGCCTTACCATAAAATGCATCTTGAAAAATACATTTCAGTAAAACTAGTAGAGATTTAAATGAATGCACCCTACATAATCCACTCCGCATTAACATTTAACGCATTCATTTCAAAGTTGATGGATCAGTTCATCTTGTGTTTAATATTCTAATCTGANTTTTTTTACACTGAAAAAAATTACGTGAGCTTGATATTTATCTTTTGTGACAATCTGCAATATCTACAAATCTGGTGTTGAAAGCCACAAATGTCTTGTCTTCCACTTGCTTAAGAGACTTGGTATAGAAGACCAAAAACAAGCAGAAACTACACACAGAAATCAGGAATGTACAATTTGTACAATTTTTGGCAGGTGAGCAGAAGATACAAGTCAATTTATTCCACAGGAGAGATTCCATCTGGGCATGAAAATTTACTTTAAATCCACATAGGTTACGTCATGGGCATCAAGCGGAGCATCTAAACCCATTTACATCCCCCATTACAACATCACAAATCGGTGATCTTAAAGCGACTCAGGATAAAGTCACTGTGTTGTACACTCAGTGGGGCCCACGTGAGGATGCGGATTTCAGCGTTGCATTGTGTCAAACTGCTGTGGGTAGAGTATTGGTTAATTCATAATTAGGTCCAAACATTGCAATAATTTTTGACAGAACACAATTGGCCCAACTGGCCTGCCTATTCATCTTTCTAAAAGCTTCCTTGGATATCTATATCATCTAATCACTTTGAATAATTTTAGTTTTTCCAGAATTGGTCTAGTTTCTATTTGAAGTCTAACACTTGTCCTTGCAATGCTGGGACGTAATAAAACTATGCAAACTATGAAATAGTCCCCTCTATTTTTGTATCCAGGTCACTGATATTAAGGTTTAAAGCTGGGGCCCCAACACTGATCCCAGGGCACCATCTCTTATAATTGCCCACCAATTAGATATTAAAGAGTTTTCTCCCAACTCAATTGTATCCCTCCTTTCAACCACCATAATTGTGTCTTCTTATAAACATTACTCTTCTTTTCCCATTTTCCTTTCCCTCTGAAAGATGCTAAGATATTCAGCTCCCAATTTTAAGCAGCCTGTAGCCATATCTCTGTAATTGCTCTAATATTCTACCCCTCAGCTGTTATCTGTGCTTCTAATTCCACCACTTTATGTTAATATTCATATAAGTTTTTTTTGTTTAGGACCAGCAAAACAAAATGGCAAAACAGAAAAGTGCCGCACCTCTTTGACATTCAAAGATAAAAATTATTACATTTTGTACTGCACATGTAGTTACCCAAATACAAGCAACTATGATAACATAGCCTTCTCTTTCCAGGAGAACTCTGCTTTCATTGACTAATTCATTTATAAATCCCCCAAACAAAAACGAAGTCCAGAGAATAGTATGGAAAAAAATTCACACAATATGAAACTTTTCTGTCCATCATAATAAAAGTCTTTGTTTGAACAAATAGCAGTTAGTCTTGAAACGTGCTGACATAATCATCCAAACACGTACTTCTGATGTGGAAATGCAAGCACACATCAAGAGCTGATATGCAAATAACAGTATACAAAGCATAAACTGTACAGTATTACTATAATGCGCTGTTGATCTGCAAATACATTGCAACTAATAGAGAACAAATATGCAAGACCAAATCTGTTTTTCTACAACTTGTTCAAACTTTGGGTAGTTTTTCCACAATCAACTTGTTTTTCTAGTTCTGACCCTCCATCCCCACCCCACCCCACCCCCGCCTCCCAAAAAAACAGAACTCGCAACATTGCTTATTCATACACTTTGTAATCACTTTCCTTGGCGATATCTACACAATTACAGACTTCCTTTAGAAACCCCAAATGGCAGCCTTGGTGTCATTTCTACCCCCAAAAAATTCAGCAGCTAAAGAGGTCACTCTGAATGAAGCCTCGTTCAAAGTAAATTCCATAGAAACTTGAATCTCACTGTCCAACAGAGAATATTCGTAGGCTCACAGGATTCAAACAATTACGATGGCAATCCTAGCGTTTTTCGTCATTGAAAAAAAATGGTGTTGAAAAAATGCCCGTAAATGTCAGTACTGGCATTGTAATTATACTTAGCCAGAAAATCTGGCTTGCTTGACAGGATCCCACCATTGGTCTCGCCAGCTGAGGTCTTTGTGTATCGCGTACTAAGGGAATGAGTGTGTATTTTTACCATATACATGGAATTTATAGTGGTGGTGTGGTGGGGGACAGGGGAAGATGTTGTTGAGGCTTCATCAGTGGACAGGAGGAATTGGAACAACTGCTACACTTTCCAAACTGAGGTTTT